ACAATTCCTCCTGGGCCCAAAGCTAAACAGATGAGTTACTCACACTATAACATGACATACTGACTTACCTTCTTTTTTTGTACTTATAAGAAAAACACAAGATAAGTGGATGTAGCACTTACCTGGGAGTATGGCCAATTAAGTTCAGTAGGACTTACTTCTGACTAGACATGGTTAGGATTGTGCTACAAAATGCCATCCCTGATAAAGGCGTTTCAACCACTATCATTTTGCTATATTCTTATTATATGTGGCATTCTAAACTAGATGTAATATTCTGAATGCAATTGCACTAGTCATACAGAATGGGAGGATTTGGGTGGAAGATTAGGAACGTATATCAATTAGACAACTAATTGGCTTACTTGATTTTGTTGGTGGTGGTGGTGGTGATTCCCCCCCCCCCCCGGAACTTAGGTGAGAGCTCTCCTGCACAGGAAATTGTGACAATAGAAGATGCACAGGCATTGGGATGGGAAGAGATAAACTAAGGGCTGGGAGAGGGAGCCGAGCAGAATGAACATGCCTAACCAGTGAGCTCAGCTAATCCATTTCCTGAGCCCCAAACAAAACACCGATTATGCATTTTCAGGCGTTATTGATGCTTTTTTATTTTTTAAGGGGAGAAAGAAGAGGTGCGCCAAGTTCCCACTGCTGCTAAAAAGATTCTGTGGCTAAGCAAAATAATGGGTTTGGATTTCTAAACTACTTTTGGTCTCTTATTACAATGCTTAAAATGCAGGATTCCGGTGCTCAGACAAAGAGTGAGCGAGAAGTTTCAATGTCAGAGAGCAGATCAAATAGCAATATCCCAGGCAGGCTACCTGCCTTATGCTTTATCCCCCAAACAGGACCAAGTCTGTTGTTAACTGGTAAAAAGGAAACCAAGCTCCACCCACTTGACTTCTGCCCATTTACTGAACTTCAACCTGCCCTGTCACAATTGCATAAGCACAGGGGTTGGGGGCAGGGGGAGAAAAGCTTATGGCCACAGATATAAGTAGCTGCGTCATTCAATAGTTTAAGGTTTAAACTTTAAAGGGGTGGTGTTAGCTACCCGATTCATAAAACAGGAGTGCTTAAAAAGCAGTACAAATTAGTATGTTACTCAATAGAACAGAATTCAGATTATAGCACATCAATGTAAGAAGGTACTATATTGCACAGCAATGTAGTTTTTTTATTTATTTAGCAACTTGTATTAATGATTTCCTACTATCTCTAAACTCCAGACGCCATTCTACTTATAGAACTGATGCAGAATAGCAGGGCTGAAAGAACTGAAAGTTCTTTCACTTGACACATCTAATCAGATCATACCGTTTAGAATAAATTATGCCGCAAGCACAGGAGAGGGATTAACAGAAATCATGCTGGAGATACAAGTTTCACAAGGCACTAACTCCAAGAAAGTGAACTGTAGCATGCCAGAAACACAGCAGCGAGTCACCGCTCCGGTCTAGAGAGAAATATCTTTCTTACTGCAAATGTGGCAAATTAAACAAGGTCCAAACTGGGCCAGAAGCAAGGTCAGTACAAAAAAAATGTGGTTCTATCTTGCAGGATCTCAGCACTTTGGCACTTTTATTGCTTCTTAAATTATAGTTGGTTGATCTGCCCAGTCACCTGCCACTTCTGAGGCAGCCAGCCTGCAGTGCAAGGTGTTGCTGAACTTCTGGACAGAAGTCAACAGGCCTGGCTCTGAGCAGGTCAGGCCTGCACTCCTGCCTCCCTGTCCAGTGCTGAATTTCTGACTGTACCCTGTTTCACAAAACCAGGGGTGGGGATTCCAACCAAGGCAAAAAGGAACTATGTTTATGCTAGAGTGGCACAATAAAATACTTTTAAGTTGGCTTGCGACACAATTGCAAGAATAATTGGCCAACACTGCTTTACTTAAGAGAGATTTGTTTCTTTTGGAAACAGTAACCAGCTGTATGAAACAACTAGCACGTGCACATTGCAACATCATAGCAAGGTCATCCTTCCCAGAGTTTTTAAAATGGAAGTTTGAGTGGGCCAGAGCAACCCATTTGACATCAACTGTTCCAATGAGAATAAACTATTTCAGAGGAAAGACTTGCAATGCTGCTTCAAGACCTACACATTCAGCAACGTTCAAAGAGGAATAAAAAAACCAACCATCTAGCTAACAATGATTAATCCAAGTTAATTTCATGGGTTCAAAAGTCACGTAACATTCTGCACGATTAAGTGCACAGCAAGCTGGCAGTCTTCCATGTTGTAAACTTCATCTTTGGAACTTCAATAGTGCCCAATCATCTAATGTAGATTAAAAGAATGCTTAACCCTTTCCAATCTACTTCAACATGAAAAGGCCTTAGTGGAGGAAGATGTGGTCAAGGAAATAATAAGTATCTTAAAGTTATACTGCTAACTTAATAGCTTTATCTGCAGTCTAGATTCATACCGATACTTTGGCAAGTAGCTCCCCGCCTTCAGTAGCTTATAGTTTGACATTATTCATGGTTAGAATGTAAAAAGGACTGTTTTTATAGCCTTAGTAAATGTTGCCTTATCAAAATGAGCATGAAGTTGCATATCAATTCCAGGAGGTTTTACTCAGGTAATCCTTACAATCAGCTGACAACTTCTGATGACTTTCCAGTGTCCTTAACCTTTCAATCCATGACAGAATGAAGAACTGCCCTTGTCTTTACAGGAGCACCTGCTATTTTATGTGCCTTACACTGGATTTCTGTACCTTTTAAACCAGTAGATCTCATCAGGATCTGCAATTCCATATTCTCTTAGCTTCATCACCATAAGAGCGCTCTTCCTGATAGCAACTTCATAGCGCTGGCTGCGGGAGAGGAAATTTACATCACTGTGCTTGAAGTCTGGGTCGTTTGTCACAAGTGCTTCTGTAGAGAAGACAAAAGGGAAATTTAGTGCTAAGTCAAGACATATTCCTTTAAAAAAATGATATAGTGGTGCCCCTCGCTAGATGAAAGAGTTTTCCGTTTTTTGAGGTGCTTTGCAAGACGAATTTCCCTATGGGCTTGCTTCACAAGACAAAACGTCTTGCGAGTTTGTTTCCTTTTTCTTAAAGCCGCTAAGCCGTTAATAGCCGCTAAGCCGTTAATAGCCGCTAAGCTGCTAATAGCCGTGCTTCGCAAGACGAAAAAACCGCAAGACGAAGAGACAAGACTCGCAGAACGAGGCACCACTGTATAAGGCTGGTTCTATGTTGTGGCTACACTACTGATAAACTGTTGACAACTTCAAGACATAAAGGTGAGAAATTGCTTTGAGTGGCACAAATAGTGGGGCATGCATCTGTTGTGTTTGGACAGCTTGCTATCACCATTGCTACCAAGGGACCTGGCAATCACGTCGCTTGAGGATTCAAAGACACCAGCACCCCACAACACCTTGCTCTGGGAATTTCTACACTCTACCATTGGTGGTACCTTGCCACCCCTATGGGAAAATCCAGGGCCTGTTATGCAAGGCAATGCTTTCACCAGTAGTGGTTCTCTCCATCAACAGACACCAGAGGAGAGAAACCTAGACATCATCCTAACCCACCACCCCAGCCAGGAACATAGGCAGGGATGGGAGTGGGTGTTAGAATTGTGTTGTGCAAGATTTAGGCCAGAACATAGGAAGCTACCTTGTACTGTCAAGCCACTATTCAGATTAACCCTCCTTTTATTACAAATCCTCATTAAGTGGGAAAGTTCTTTTAAAATTTTAAAAAAAATAGTTATTTAAATGCAAGCATTTAGAAAAACTGCACGCAGCAGAGATCACACAGACAACCGTCTAAAAACAAAGGTGAGGGAAGCACCCTTGTTCAGAACAACTACTTATTCACACAGTATATAAATCTAGTTTTTAATAACTGCATCGGCTTAGGGAATGCCTTCCGCAACCAAACTCACCAGGCAACTACATTAAGAGCATTTCCGCAGCAGGTGTATACTTTGTTTCTCTCCCTCCAATGCCTTTTAAATCTTTTCTTTTCAACAACAACATCTTTGAACGGTCTATTTCTCTTAGGTGCCGCGCCGTTTATTATTCCCCCCCCTTTTTTGGCATGAAAATGAACGGTTGGTATTTAATCTCTGAGGTTGCAGTTAATGCTTAATTACTACGGTATCGTTTTAATTGGTCTCTGCCTGATGGGGATTCCGGCTTGCCGAGACGCGTTCCAAATGAGCCAAGTTGCAATGGCACAATCTGAAGAGAGAAGGATTTGGGGAATCGCGGGGCGCGGAGGACACTCCGAATTTGATAACGAATCAAATTACCACCGCCAGGTAGTAGCTGCACACAGAGGAGGAGGAGGGGGAGGCGCGCCCACCATCCCACTAAACCCCCACCTCCCGGGTCCAGAATGGCAGCAGCAGCCGCCGCCGCCGCTCTTCCGACCCACCCAAAGCGGCTCCTCTCACCGATCTCCTTGCGGCGCCGGGTCCGCTCCGCGCCTCCGTCCAAGACGTTGGTGAGCTTCTCCGTGTCGAAGGAAGCCCCCTCGCGCTCTTTGCGCAGGTCCGGGTTCATGGTCGTCGTCGTCGCCGCCATGGCGAAGGTTGCGCTCCTGTGCGCTCTGACGCCAGCAGACTAAGAGAGGTGGCGGACGGCGAGGGAAGAAGAAGAGCTACTAGCGCGGCGGCGGCGACGGCGACGGCGGCGGGTAAAGAGAGGCTGGCGGCAAAAGCTTCCGGACGGGGCAACCCCGCCACGCCCACCCGGCCGGCACGTGACGCAGGCGGATTTCCACCCCGGGCGTGCGGCCTTCCGGGCCACGTGACGCTGGGAGGCGTGGCCTCGCGCTTCAGCCCTCCCTCTGGTAGGCGGGGCTTATGGAGCGAGACGGACGCTGGTTTCTGCTGCGCGGGCGGCGGTGGTCGGTTTCAGTATCCAATGAGGAGGAGGAGGCGGGAAAGGAAACGAGAGCGGGAACTCCCTGCGCTTTGGAAGCGGTTGTGGATGTAGCTGCTCCTCCTCTTCCTCCTCACTAATAGGTGCCTTAGCTGCGATGGGGAAACCAAGGGTGGCTTAAGGTTGCCCGCCCACTGATTTGTGGCTGAGGGCACATTGGCTTCACGTGGCTGCGCGGCAGAAACTCTGCGGCATAGGAGGGAATTCCGGACAGGCTGTCTCTAGTTGGGTGTTAGGAGGATATAAACAAGGGTTTCGATTGCTGCTTTGCAGGTAGTTTGCTTGTGGCGCTTGGGAAATTCCCGGTCGTCGCGCCTGCCCTGTGCAACGCCCTCCCATCAGATATCAAGGAAATAAACATCTGTCTGAATTTTGGAAGACATCTGAAGGGGGCCCTGTACCAGGGAGGTTTTTCATGTTTGAGGGTTTTTGTTGTGTTTGAATACTTTGTTGGAAGCCGCCTAAAGTGCCTGAGGCAACCCAGTCAGGTCGCTGGCATATGGATAATAAAAAAAATATTCTTACTGGACGACCCCCCTTCTCCATATTCAAGATTTCCATTGTCTCTTTGCTTCAAAAACATTAAGTGGGGAGGGGGCCCAGCTAAATTTAAATTCATTTATTAGACTTATTGGGATGGGTGTGGTTAAAATTTCATGGAGAACAAATAGAATGCATGCCTTGACATAAAGAGGTCTGTTTTCCTAGTAAACATTTAATCAAAAATTGACTTTGCATATTGATTTGGAAGGGGCTGGAGGATGCCCTGTTGTGGGATATTCAAAAAATAAATAATAGTCTGTATTTGATGATATAATATATAATAATAAGAATAATTTATTATTTATACCCTGCCCATCTGGCTGAGTTTCCCCAGCCACTCTGGGCAGCTCCCAATCGAATGTTAAAAAAAAATACAGCATTAAATATTAAAAACTTCCCTAAACAGTATATAATATAATACTGTATGTGACACTTTCTTGTGCAGTGGCATCTGAAGAGTGAGATGCTGTAAGATAAAGGTATGGTAGATAGCAATCCTATCATCAGATCTGTAAAATAGTAATAGCTACCTGCCCTTACAGCGGAGATGCGGAACCTGTGAACCTTCAGTTGATGCTGGGCTACAACTCCCATCTTCCCTATTCCAATGGCCAAGCTGGCTGGGAACCTTGCAAAGTACTTAAAATGAGGTTATTATCATGAACAAAATAGGTAGTAGTCTATTAGAATTGATTTGAGCATAATTAAAGAAGCCTGCCAACTGAAAAAGTAACACCTGCTGTTGCATAGTAGGGGAATCCAATTACCTTGAAGCCTTGAAGCGGAAAGATAATCTTTTAAATACTCACTTCATTTTTTGTCTGACTGTAGGGTCTGTTCTCAAGAACAGTTGCGCAAAATGCTGCCGGATGCTGGGACATATCACTTTCCTTGGGAAATCAACTCTGCATTGATCCCAGAAGGGAAGACCCTGAGAACCTTTGGCAGGTCAGTGTAATTCCTTTCGACCTTAAGATTTTTGTTTCTTTTGCTCATCCTATCTAACATTACTACTGCTACTCTTTTTGTCTCTTATTTTCCTTCTGATTCCTTCCTTTAGATTTCATAAAAGAACCAAATTCATAAATAACCAAATGCCACATGTAAGAGAAAGCATAATGAGTTTGATTTCTTCCCCCCTACCCTGCACATCTGTGAAAAAAACTTGTTTTGTTTCCTGTCTCCTGTTTACTATATCTGTAACGATTAAGCCCAACCTCAAGATCAGCAGGATAGAGCGGGTTAGGACTGTGTGGAAGTGCCCCTCTGCTCGTGAGGAAGGCCTATGCTGGTGTTGGGGTGTGGTGGTTGTGGGGAGACATCCGCAATCCAGGCCACTGCTAGCTCTACTGGTGGTGGGAGCTAGTGGTAGTCCATAAAATGCAGTTTGGGGGACTTAGATGTGTGAGATGCTGGTTTCCTTGGATTTACTGGAGCATGTGTGGGGAGTGGAGCTCTCTAAAAAAGACAACCCAAAAGAGGTACATCTGCTCCCCACACCTCCTGCCCTAGGTGGTACAAACTGGCAGGGATTGGGAAGTGACAGATCATTATTGTTATCATGTTATTGTTGTAAACTGCCTTGAGATTTATTTTTAAATGAAAAGTGGTATAGAAATGATTTTAAATAAAATGAATCACCTACCACTTCACTCTTCACCCCTTCCTACTTAGGACTGCACTCTCATCTGTTGCATAGTGTCCTTGTTAGTTTATTAATCCATGTGTTGCACCACCATTAGATGTTGTAAAGTATTTGTTGTCATTGTTTTAGTAACATAGTTTTTATTCCTCTTCACTTTTAAACTTTTTAACATGGTTGCATTGTTTACATTGGAGGATATGATGCGCAGCAATGATATAAAATTTAAAATAAAACAACGATAAACACTCAGATAAACATTTCTGAATAGATTAACAAAGTTATGTCAAAGTACATAAGCCAAAATTATTACAATTATTACAGATATGAAATTATGTCTAGCAACATTTATTGCTTTTTTGACCCTTAGTAAGAGGTATTTTGTATCAATAACAATTATAATTTATAGGAAGGGGGAGGGGAAAATTAAAATGTGTACTTCATGCATGCTAGGCTCTACTGTAATCTATAGGTACTGTTCTGCCGTATGCCTCATTATTTGTGTAATCCATAACGTCACATGTAAAATATTCATTATTATTTTTCTGGCACAGAGATGAATATGTGAGTTAAAAGAAAGAAACATTAGGCTAACATTGAGTTAATAATCCTAAATGTCATATTGTATGTGTTTTGAGCTTAGGCACTCATTCAGTATAGCATTATTAGACATGCTTAGCTGAGGAAAAAAACTTTGAAATCAGTTATTTATTTTCAGTTAACTGGGTGGTATTCAAAGAAGTTTTACTTAGAGCCAACCCACTGAAATTAATAAGCACAACTAAATTATATTCATTGATTTAAATGGGTCTCTGAGTAAAACCTAGCTGAACACTACCCAGTGTCTTTAGCATTGGGAAGCAGATATAGGTAGATCTAATTTCTCTATATTTAAATACATTATTTGATTATTTAATTTCTGTACTACTTAATGTATTAAAAATATCTCTAAGCAGTGTACAAAAAACTGAAGTAACAACGGACAACTTGAAACAAAATCATTCTGCGCATGATTTCCACATGCTTTATTATCAACATTATTTGAGACCCAAGTTTTTGTTTTTCAGGCTACACTCCTATGATGTGGTCAGCTCCCAAGCCATCTTAACAGCTCAGCACACTTCAGTTCAGTACTGTATCCAAGTTTGTACCAAGTTTGTGGAACCATTCCAAGCCCAGCTTGGGGCTCTGTATATTGTACTGGGGGAAACCGAACATAAAGAGGGTAAGAACACCTGTATTTTTTCTATCCGTGAAACCAGGAATAGTCTAGATCCTGGCCTGGTGGACCAACCTTTATCTCCTCCACCCCAGTGAGCCAACTTTGACAGGTGGGCAGGACCACCCGCCTGCTAGTCATCAGGCATTATATTGATGATGGGTGAGTTGTCCCAGCCACTTGCCAAAAGTTGGCCCACCAGGGGCGGGAGGAGATCCTGCACAAAGCAGGATTGAACTCCCCACACAGCAGTTAATATGCGGGGAGTTCAATCCTGCTTTGTGCAGCTGCTTCTCTACCTGGCCCACACCTGTAGTCACATATGGCATCAAGTATGGGGCAGGTAGGTGTGGTTTCAGAGAAAAAGCCTTGCATGTTTGGCCTGTGGCTGGAGGTTCCTCATCCTTGGTCTAGAAGGTAAAATAAATAGTCTTGGGAATAGGGACCCTGATCTTCTGATGCAATCCTTTTGCATGGAAGAAAAATAAAACTAACAGTGGTTTAAGTTAGTACCTAATCACTCCTGTTGGTGTTTCCTTTTCATTCTCTGGAACTGTCACATAAGGATAACACTGATTTTCTAATCATGCTAGCCCTGTGCTGCAAGCCAACTTGTTTGGTGCAGCCTGGCTTCTTGTAATTTTATGCAAAGGTGGCAACGTTTGTTCCTAGACTCTCTTAGCATATGGAAAACACCTTTGACCTGATTGTATAACACAGAAACTTTAAGCTGCTTGTGTACCCTTATTAAAAGTTGCATTACCTAACCCTGAGATTTGAAATGTTGACTTATGCTACAGTGGTAGTGAATATTGTGTGGGAGGCACTAGGGCTAGTGCACGTACGTTTAAGCCTCTGGGTGGGGAGGAAAGAAGAATCATGTCCTTATTTTCAACCACACTGAGGACACAGATTCAATCCCCCCCCCCCCGAAGTGCATTTGAATGTGTTCATGCAGTACTGATTGCTTACATCTGTCAAAGACTTCCACCTGTTTTGATGCCCATATGCAGTGGGTGGCCTCTGTTAGAACATAAAAGGAGCCTGCTGCATTAGGCCAATGGCCTATCTAGTCCAGCATCCTGTTCTCACAATGGTTCTCCAGATGTTATTGGACTACAGCTCCCACCAGCTATGAGCATTGTCCATGTTGGCTGGGACTGATAGGAGTCCAACAACATCTGGGGGCACCATCTTAGCTAACATCCATGTATGTCTGTGGTACTACTGTTGTCAGTCTAGCTAGCTTTCCTAAACGGCCTCAGTCCAGTATACCTGAAGGAGCGTCTCCACCCCCATCGTTCTGCCCAAACACTGAGGTCCAGTGCCGAGGGCCTTCTGGCGGTTCCCTCGCTGCGAGAAGCCAAGTTACAGGGAACCAGGCAGAGGGCCTTCTCTGTAGTGGCACCCGCCCTGTGGAATGCCCTCCCACCAGATGTCAAAGAGAAAAACAACTACCAGACTTTTAGAAGACATATGAAGGCAGCCCTGTTTAGGGAAGCATTTAGTGTTTAATAGGTTATTGTATTTTAATATTCCATTGGAAGCCACCCAGAATGGCTGGAGAAACCCCGCCAGATGGTCAGGGTATAAATAATAAATTATTATTATTATTATTATTATTATTATTATTATTATTATTATTATTACTTATTATCACAGTATGGCATTATCTCAAGGAAATGGGTTGTTGTGGGCTGTAGTTGGCACCCATCTCATCTTGGGATACAATGGAAGAGTGCACCATTGAGGGTAAAGTCAAACAGTGCCTGCTGTGACTGTAGAGACCGATATGGGAGAGACATGTTTGCTTGCAGCTGGGGCAGATGAAGGCGTCCAGTTGTGCTCATGCAGGTGTACCATGGCGTCTCTTCTTTCTGCGCTCCTCCCAGCAGACATTCCTCTTCTGGTCCCTGCTGCAGATACACAAGCTAGCTTGATTGTCTCCAGGACTGTGGTCATCTGCAAAGGATTCCCACACGATGGGGTTAATGTTGCCAGCCTTCATGCTACACTTGCCAACATCTTTGTATCACAGAGTTGGTCTGCCAACGGGCCTGGTGTCTGGAGCCAGCTCCCTATGGAGAACATTATTGGGATCCTGCCATCTTCCATTCTGTGGATAGGACCAGCATAGACGTTGCTGAGACAGAGGTGCAAACATGCTGGGAATGTGGGGTTGGAAGAGCACATGTTTGTTTGAGACTCTGCCCTGCCATGTGATGTCCTTCTTCTTCACTGAAAAGCATTGCTGAGGGGGCAGATTATAGAGGAGAATTATGGGGCAGGAGGATGCAGCCTCCCCTCATTTGGTGCTTTGCCCTTGCAAAACCACAAATACACAAATTTCAGATCCTTTTACAAACATGCTTTTGGAACTTAGCTGGGATAATAGTGGGCTTGGGGATGGAAGAAGGAAGGTGAAAGGGGTGGGCAGGGGAACAGTTATTTATTTATTTATTTTTATAAAATATTTATTGAAATTTTTTAAACATCAAAATAACACATAAGAAACAGAAAAAGAATCAGAATAAAATTATAAAAAGAAATAAGAATATAGAAAGAAAATACAAATAGAGTAAAAATATTCATAAATCATATTTCCATAAACTTTGAGCTTCCTCACATCCCCCTTCCCTGCGTTCCCAACCAGATAGTTATATGCAGCAATTTGTTACCTTACTTCCATTTCTTATTTTATAAGTCTCAAATGTTCAATTTCAGCTTTAAAGGGCAGGGGAACAGTTAAACACTCTTCCTGCAAACGGCTTATTCCCAATATTGTTTTCCTGTGTAAAAGCAGTAGCTGGGAGCTGAGATAAGCAATTAGCTAGCAAAACGACGTTCCAACGAGAGTGCTTGGAAAATATTATATTCCTGCAAGAAAAGGATTGCCTTCAGGGAGGACTTTTGAATTCTCTTCAGCAAAGGGATAACTACTGGGAGAGCTCCTGTTACAGTGTGGGTATTCCTTGGCACCCAAATACCAGCATTTCTTTGGCGCCAGTTGTATATTTTAGGAGACCTTGACCCCTGGCACCAATTAGCCTGTTAGCTGACATGATCTGCAGATGGATCGTTTGGGATCCTAAATAATTAAGTAGGTTTCTGGGTGAAATGTCAAATGTGACTAGATGACAACACCTTATTGTACCAAGTAATAATTATGATAATCACTCAGAATTCGAGCACTTCTTAGTTGCACACTGAGATACAGGAGACATGTGACTTATTATTAGGTTTTCTGAAATCTACTGTGCCTTTGTACTTGTGGGTATTCGAACTCAGTTTACAGACAAGTAGGTACTCTGGAATTAATCCGAATCGGTTGATTTGGGGGGGGGATTGAACAGACAAAAGTCACTGTTTGGAATATTACATGTGAAGCTGAATTTCAAATTAGAAATGGCTTCTAGGACTTGACTGCTCTGAATCCCATGACCTATAAAATAGACATACGGTTACCCTCCATCTCTTTCCACTTCAGTGATTTCTAGCCAACTATTTCCCATATGTCATATTTAGCAAAGCACAGTGAAAATGTGACCTGCTTAATTTCAGTTTTCAGCAGGACCTGTTTTAAATATGACCTTATAGTCTACTTGTAGATTTTTGCACCAGCCTATCGTCGTGTGCTGGTGTAAAGTTGCAGTAGCATTCTGCATTCTAAGCATTTGTCAGCATACTGCAGTTGCAAGACTGCATTATTGACCATGACGGAGCTTACATAGATTCTTTAAAAAAGTTGCCACATTTCTGACGACTTTAATTTTTATATTTACAGGTAATGAGATGGTGATAAAGGCCCGTGTGCTTACATGTGTAGAAGGAATAAACCTTCAGTTGCTGGAGAAGGCCATAACGGAACAGAGAAAATATTTCCAGGAGAGAGAGAAGCAGCTGGAAGGAAATGCCTCCTAGTGCTCTCTGCATTAGGAGAGGACTTATTACTGAACATAATTAGTGCTATACTGAATAGGGCCAGCTTATCATTTTCCTTCACTCTAGTACCATTTTGTAATGCTGTCTTAAAATTGTACTGCCTGCTATTGCCTTAAGATGACCCCCCCCCAAAAAAAATATTTTTAATGTTCAGAGGGAGAAAGTATGCCCCTGGTGTTCTAGAACTGCTTCACATATTACACTAGGATATGCAGAAGTTGCCACAGTGTTTTGAAAGCCATTTAAACAATGCAAAATGCAAAGGGTTAATACATGCATACTAGTTTGGAAGCAGTTTATTACGACTGTATTTTGAAATAATGAAAACAGCCATTAAGTTTACAGCAGCTGGATTTTAAATACTCTTTGGTTTTTTGTTTAATAATAAAATTTAAAGTTGATAGTGTTTAAATGCCCATTCTTCTTTTGCTTTTGTGACAGAGCCACAAAGCCTTGATGATGTTCAATTGCTCATTCTTCAGTCCTATGTGGCCAGTCCCAGGCTTTATGGATACTGTAAGAAAACTGGTTGGTTAGCAGCATTCCTAGATTAACTAGTACTTACTTGGCTATTTATTTGTGTGCTTCCTGACAACCTGTAGCACTCAGCCTTATTATATGCAACCCTTAGCCTAATTTCAAAATCCTTCTGCTACGAAACAGCTTTGACCTCCAGCAAGAGTGATCTGTACTTCCTACAGCAGCTGGGTGGACAGGGAGGAAGGAGAGAGAGAGTGAGAAAGAGAAGGGATGGCAGAAAGAGAGAGAAAACAGGTGGCTATGTCCACATTTGGTCCTGCCATTGGTCAACTTAATCTGAGGGAATGCAGTCCTCAACAACAACCAAGTTTTGCACCTCTACTGGGGTGGGGGGTGGGGAGAGACACTGAATGGATGTTGATTAATATCTGTTGAGGGCTTTTCTGGATCCTTTCTCCACCAGAGAGAAATATTACAATACTACAAGATATTAATATTACAAAATCATGACAGGTTATATTTCTATATTACCTATTGGGAGCTCAGATTCTTCAATGTCCATTATGGCTTCACCTTAATACTAGATTACTGAAAGTTGTGTCATAGCAATTATCATGCTCAACTGAGATTTATATTGAAAATGAGGTGTGTCCCCACCCCCATAGGTACTTTGCATGGTTCTTGACTGAGATTTCTACTCCAAAGAGTTAATGATCGAAGTTAATTTCTGCATTAGAATTCATAGAAACAAGAAGTGTTTCTATGTTCTAATTATGTTTGTATCAATCTCAGCTGTTAAGATCTATGGGAGGGGTTCTAATGTGGGAGTCATCTTCTTGTGAAATAATACCTTTCAGAGAAAGGAGCAGAGGCTGACCTTTAGCAGAGTGCCCATAATGATATCTCATACGAAGATAGCACACATTTGCCTTCTAGAAAATAGTCCTGATTGTCTCCTAACTCAGATGAATACTGAACTCACAATAATAATAGTAATAATAATAATTTATTAATTATACCCCGCCCATCTGGCTGGGCTTCCCCAGCCACTCTGGGCGGCTTCCAAAAGAATATTAAAATACTATAATACATCAAACATTAAAAGCTTCCCGAAACAGGGCTGCCTTCAGATGTCTTCTAAAAGCCTGGTAGTTGTTGTTCTCTTTGACATCTGGTGCGAGGGTGTTCCACAGGGAAGGCGCCACTACCGAGAAGGCCCTTTGCCTGGTTCCCTGTAACTTGGCTGGTAAGAAGTGCCATGCCTACTTATAAAAATGTGTTGAAGAGATATTAAAAATCCACCCATGTGCCATTTCTTCCTAGTTAACACACTTTTGAGAACTCAGCATCAAACTGTTCGCTCTGTGCAATGACCTTAACCACCACGTTCACTGTAGTGTCAGAAACAGACCACCACCATCCCAAATTAAAAATTAAGACATGTTCTTGAAATGATGAGGATCACAACTTTTTTGTAAGTGTAAAATGGTGCTTCTCCATATGTGGATAAGCATATTCGTTTGCATATTGATAATAATTGCAAGACTTTTAACATTGTTTAAAGGCTGGGGGTGAGGTAGGAGAAATGTGTTATTCATCCTATACTTGAAGAATGGTTACATACTTTTTCTAGCTCTAAATACTGCCTAACTAAAACTAGCAGAATCTGTTTGGCTAGACACCACAGCCATATTAAGGTTTCAGAGAATGCAAAGGCTGAGGATGATTGACCACTGTGGCCTTCCAGGTCTTGTTGGGGTCCTCTTTCCATCAGCCCCAGCCAGCATGGCCAATGGTCAGGAAGTATGGGAGTTATAGTCCATGAATTATGGGAGTTGTAATACAACTAACCTGTGAAAGACCACAGGTTAGCTTTCCACTGGCAAAGGAGAATAAAGTTTTTCAGGGTAGTGAATGCCAGCCTTTTTCCCATTGTCAACAACCCCACTAGCTCCTCTCCTGAACTTTGAATGTTGGACAGGAAAGTCTGAAGGGGGATTTTGAATGTGTTTGGCTGGATATACTTAGAATCTTCCTCACAATTGGGAACCCTGATACACATGGTTTCCAAGCACGGAGAGGCTGAACCCATGAAGTATCCTATCATAATACTGGTTTTGATGTGCAAAAGTTGGGGTGGAGCCAGCAGGGATGGGAATTTGGGCTGCAGGGCTGCTGCGTGCCCACTTTATCCTTCCTTGCGTTCTTTGAATATCCAAATATTATTTATTTACTGTATTTGATATTTGCATCTGTTAGTCTCACTTCATAACAGAAGTCCTCTGGGGCTCACGAGTGCTTCGGTGCTATCACCAAGTCTCTGAAGAAAAGATAGCCTGTGAGCAAAGAAAAACTTGCCCAAATTAAGTGATTTTGATCATTTCCCCCTTGCAAGAAATTTTAAAAGCAGGGCCAAAGTCTAGCCTGCAGTTATTGCTCCTGTCAACTTCCTACAATATATCCCTGTTGGAAGGGATGCAGAAACTGTGAGTATACTAGTCAAACAGCACCAAAAGAGATCTCTCTGTGTGTTTTCTTATATTTGGTAACATTTGCATTTTTGCATTTGAACATCTCCCTCTAGTGGGCAAAAGCCACTTTAGTGGTGGTGTGAGGTGAATTTTGACCCCTTGGAAACACTGTAGTTCAGTAGGAAGGAGGGTATGGAGGCAAATGGAAGACTAGATGAGCAGGTGGGAAGCATTCTGAGGAGCCGAGAGCTTTAATTTTCCCGTTAGATGATCACATTAGTAATTTGTGACTCGCGTGGGAATGGGGGTGGCTTAGTGAGTAGTTCCTTGGGTGTCAGGGCAGGCCTGGGCCCAAGGCCTTCCTCAAATATGACAACGTGCAGTAAGTCTCTTCCATTTAACAATGCCGTGTTCTTGAACATCGCATGTAAAGAAGGATTCTTATTCAGAATATTCCCAACACCCCCCCCCCTTAAGTCAAGAAATATTTTGATTAACCTTGTTGGAGGGACAAGAATATTCCCTATATCTGCAGTTACCCTAGAAAACATTGTGGCTGTGGATCCCATAATGCAATTATGCATTGTGTAAAGAATCCCTTCCTCTTGCCTGTCCTGGCTCTGTTGCCAATCTGCTCCATAGGGGAGAGAGTGAAAAAGGTGCCATTTGCCTACGTTTTCTGCTCCACTCATACAAAACCTGTACTTAATTTTGCAGCTGAGGCAAACAAACAAGGCCTGTGGGGTGTAGTTGATAAAGTTTGACTGGGAAAGTCAGGGGCACGTCTTTCGCTATGAAACAAAACACCCTTTGAGGCTCATCTGCTTCATAGGATGGTGTTGTGAGCCCAAAATACCACCCTGAACTCCTTGAAGGAAAGGCAGGATCCCAATAAGGCATCATCCATTATGTGGGGATGCATATTGTGTTTCTTGGCCCTGGGGCTGGGCTGTCATAGCACAAAGGGAACAGTAAATGTCATTGTAATCGCCAGGCACCTTCAGTTAACTTAAGTAGGTTAATGGAGAATATGAGAGTAGTCCATTGGAAAGGGATTATTAAAGATGTTATTTAAGCATTATGCTTATTTGTTTAAATGGATTATTATTACTTTTCAGGGATAGGGTGAATGGAAGAATGGAAACATGCAAAATGCTATGATGTATAGAGATGACCAGATAGTACTACTCCTAATTGTCTGATCAAATGTTACAGCAGCAAGTAAGAAGACAGAGAATGGATGCGTTCCAAGATGTCTTCCAAAAGGTAGAGAAGATTGGAGAGGGCACCTATGGGGTAGTATATAAAGCCAAAAACAAACAGACAGGCCAGCTAGTTGCTTTGAAGAAGATCCGCCTAGATTCGTAAGTACCTAGTTCACTAACTTTCCCCTGAATTGGCTACTCTTAAAACTCATGAAATGGTTTCCTGATAGCATTTATGTTTTGAATTTTAATACATTGCAAATTGTGGAATTTGAGAGATATCATGCGGAAAACCATGGGCAGAATTTATTCACGTAAGGTTCAGTTCCAAATAGGGTCCAGCTGTTAATGTAAAGTATGCTTACTGTAACAGTAGAATTGCAAGCACCTTAAGCATGGAGACTAATGGCTGATTTAGCCATTAAATATGACAATGGAGACACATGAATGTATCTGTCCCTTTTAAAATTTTGTGCAGATATGCTTTTCTTATTGAAGCAACTATCAGAATTGAAGGGGGTGGAGAAAAGACTTATAGTCTTTGAGGAGAAAGGCCATCTCCTTAATTTTATATTTTAGTAGTTGTAGTTCAACCTGTGTAGAAGAGCCTTACTCAAAATGCACTGAGATTATCATATCTCATTCCTTACTTGTTCACATATGTTATGCTTGCTGTTGCTAAAATATTAACCTTATACCTGTGTAGTTTTCCACATTTTCTCTTTTTTGTGATTGATGGGACACCCTTTTCCCTCCCTGCTTTGGCAGACAAGCTCTATGAACATTCCCCTAGAGAAGATACGTGAGTGGAAATAATCACTGAGGCCCAGTAAAGCAGAAAGAATTGGATTGTTTGATACCAAATCCCTTTCTTCACAGGGAGACGGAAGGAGTTCCCAGTACAGCAATTCGAGAAATCTCCCTGCTGAAAGAATTGAAACATCCAAACATAGTGAGGTAATAAAAAGTCTAGACTTTGTGTCTGTGTAGATGTGAGCTGTTCTCTTTTTAAAAAAATAATTTTTATTAAGTTTTCCATTTAACAATCCAATTATATCACATTGATTATTCCAAATTATACCAATACATATCATAAAGTCCAAATATTTTGCCAAATTATAAATTTTTGTAGGGGGTTCCCCTGCTTCTAGTTCAGTAAGGGTCCAGTCATCTCATATCTCTGCTGCTTTTAGAGATGTGAGCTGTTCTCATCTATAACCCATAACAGCATTGCTTAGATTAATAGAAACATGGAATAGATAAGGCTATTTTTAATTCAGACTGCAAATCCTATGCCAACTTTCTTGGAACTTTTCCAGCAGACACCTTGAGGAGACTAAAACAGCCTCAAAATACTCTTGAGCTGCCACTCACAGGTTTGGAGTCTGATTGTTGAGGAGCTGGTCATGAGACCTCCTGGGGCAATAATCCTGGCTTGAAGCCACTGTCATTATCATAGGGACCAGGGGCTGGGTTAGAGTGACACTTGGAGTGAGATACATTGTCCGCTAGCATATCTGCAAGTAACTATTCATGCACGTACATTTTAAGAGGCAAAGTAGCATAGTTGCAGTAGTAAACCTGCTCGTTAGTAGCGTGCTGCCTTGCTGTTTCAAATAACTTGCAGGCATACAGGTATCTGAAAACAGATAATGTTAATTTGTTCCTCTTAGTCTTTTGTTGCACCTTTGCTGTTCTTTGCAGAACAGCACAGGAGAGAACTAGGGATAAATAAAAACAAAACTGCAACAAGGGAATCTCGGTGCAGAGTAAGTTTAATTTAAATAGCATTGCAACAGCCAGCATTTAGGCAAGACATCTGTTGGCAGCTACTAGAGAATGCAGTTTTGCAAACAAGCTCCTTCACTCAATGGCTTGTCTACTTGCTTTGTGTATTACATTTTTATCCCATCCTTCTTCCAAGGAGCTCGGAGTGGCATACATGATTCTGTCTCTCTCTTCTTAGTAGTGGCTCATGGGATGGTGGAGGTGGGTCTCTGTTGCTCTCCTGGCTTCTCAACACCGTGAGTTGCTGCTTCACCCCTCTCCCTCTTGGTAAATGACAGTGACTCACAGCACTGGGAAGCCGGGAGAACAATGGAGTTGCTACTGCTCTCTTACCATTACTCTTACAACAACCATATGGCGTAGGTTAGGCTGAGAGACAAAGCCCAAATTTGCTTCATGACTGATTGAGGCGTTGATCCTGGGTCTCCCCAGTCTTAGTCCAGCTTCCTAACTACTGTGCCACACTGACTCTCCTTCTGTTGTGCCAAAAAAAGGTGTGTGTGTGTGTGTGTGTGTGTTTGTGTGTGTCGGAGTGGTGGATGCATTTGTTCTGCAGGGGCATTAGTTCTTCCAAACCCAGATGTTCAGTCACTGAATTCAATTTTTATTCCAGGCTTCTCGATGTGGTTCACAGTCAGAAGAAACTCTATCTAGTCTTTGAATATCTGAATCAGGACCTTAAGAAGTACATGGACTCGTCCCGTACAGGGGAGCTGCCTTTAAGTTTGGTCAAGGTAGAAGTTTACACAAACATACGCACAGTCACTTACAGTATATACCTGGAAATATGTTCTTGAATTTCAACTCCCATCAGCCTCAGACGGCATTGTCAGTTATCAGGGATTATGGGAGTTGTAGTTCAGCAATATGTGACAGGCTGCAGGTTAACTACCACTGTTTTATACCTTGAAGCATTGAAAAGCCATTCACGTTGCAGAAGGGCCTGTAAGATTTTAACTTTCTTTCTATCTGATAGTGCCTTTAAAAACTGTGACAGACAACAAATCAGGCAAAGGCTGGGGTAGGAGAGCTTTAACTGTTGAATTTTCTCCTTGCGTTCTTCCTGTCATTTAAAAAAGACATAGGAACCTTGACAGGAAACAAACTGGCTACCCTAACAAGGAGTGTGGAAAGTTTCTTATCTGGTCACACTGCTGTTCTCAAAGAAATATATTAACAATGTACGTGGAACCTGTTTGCAAGCAAGCGATTCTTTGAGATGTTGAACTGTGGCATATTATGTACCAGCTGCCCATGGTTTCTTTATGCCTACACTGGATCTTGCCACATCAAAAATATATATATAAAAAAATAAAAAAAAGTTTCAGGAAAATGCATTGTAAACCTCGTACTGTAATGGGAAATCATGTTGCTGAAACACGGAATTCTACAGCACCATCTGGTGTCACAGTGTTATAATGCATTTAAAATGCTTGCTTGTTTGTTTTTACTAATCTCTGAAACCTTTGCTTCTCCCTAGAGCTACCTTTATCAACTGCTACAAGGTGTAAGCTTCTGTCACTCCCACAGAGTCATCCACAGAGATCTGAAGCCCCAGAACTTACTTATAAACGAAATGGGAGCCATCAAACTAGCTGATTTTGGCCTAGCAAGAGCCTTTGGTGTTCCACTGCGTACTTACACTCATGAGGTAATGTTCGTCATCATCTCTTCCTTCTCTTTCTTAGTGCTGTTAGTAGGCAAGAAGGTTTCCAAGTCATCCTCTGAGAAGGTGTGTGTGTGTGTGTGTGTGTTTGTGTAAACACAATTTTTGAGGCAGATTTTGCACCATCAGAGTGCTGCTGTGATGCTCCACAATGGTAGAATTTTCTTGCCTTTGAAACACTGAAAGATGCATGAGACCCCCTCCGGGTGCTGCTCTGGCTATGTTATTTGATGTGAAGTGAGAAGAAAAGTAGCCATGAAATGAGCTATTATGATACCCAGTCTTATGCAAAGAATGGATTGAAACTGCAATTTGGCAGACCTTAACCTAAAGACTGTCCATACCTTTAGTCTTCTGGGTCAAGATTCTGCAGATTAAAAGTCCATGCCATTATACATTTTGAAGGTATGTTTTTACTACCTCAGACTAACATGGTTTCTCTCCAGGAATTTAGATTTTTAAATGCGCTGAGACAGAAAAAGAGGATGCAGCCATCTTGCTTCTGAGCTCATTGCTCCATCAGTTCCCTTTGTCCAGCTTCCTCTCCCACATGCTATAGCAAAGAACAAGTGGGACTCTAGTTTTGTCTCAAAGCAGGTTGGGGAGGAGAGTGAGTGAAGGGATAGCAACATCTGCTTTTCTGACTGGCATTCAAGAGGCCATGCTGCAGTCTAGTGGACTTCATCTGAGTGAGAACAATTTCTTGCAAAAGACTGGATCGTAAAAGTTTATGGGGCTCAATCATAAAAGTTTTTAACTGAGGGTGGGAAGGCATTTGAATACATAAAAAGCATAAATTGAACTCGAGCTTTCAATGTGGTTCCTTCTAGGTTGTAACCTTATGGTATCGGGCTCCTGAAATTTTACTAGGTTGTAAATTCTACTCAACCGCTGTGGATATCTGGAGCATTGGCTGCATATTTGCAGAAATGGTAATAGACTTCAGTTTTTTTGATTCAAAAGTAAAGTGCACTGCGTTTTAGACGCACAAATATGTTAATTTCTTATGAAAATTTTATGTGGTAATGTGTGCCTTGTTTGTATTTATAGCTACCTAGCTCCCCTTGTCTTTGTCTCACACACACACTCTCTGAGGAGAATTTGTAATCTGAGCCCTTAGCCCAGAAGTCAGGATTGAAGCTTAAATCAATACTTGCATTTTGGCAAGAGAAGCAGTTGGTGCACTGTGTCATCTGGATGACATAAAAATCAGTGATACTGAGTTTATGTATACTCTTAACATTACAAATATCCAAAACAGACACTGTGAATCATGTAAGCAATGTGCTCTTATTTTTTTCCTAATTCTACTGTGTGGCAGAACCAAGTTTAGTGTTCAAAATGTGTTATTCTTGCCACCACCTTTTTAAAATTTCAAGAGTCTTTGATAAGACTTCCCTCTCTGATATTGTTAAAAGCTGCAATGAGCATGAAAATGTGCATTGATTGTTGCTGCTGTTCCTGTGGCCATCTGATTCTGTTTAGATACATGCTTCCTGATCACAGCAGAGTAAAGGAGAAACTTACTTTCAACTTTTTATCCATTGAAAAATGTTTTATTTTATTTGAGCATTATACCTGGTTTTTGTACACTGCTCTGAAAGCTGCACTGAGGGGTGCTGTATCTTTCAAATAAATAAGATATATTGCATAGTGAGGCTCACACTGCTGCTGTATTGAGGAGGAAGGTTGTGACCATGGCAGGTAGTCTGCAGTTAAGAAAAATTATGTGGAATGTAGCTTTCATTTTGGTTTGGTAAAGTTATCTCTCAATTCTGTGAGGATGCTTCCAGAGGGATGTATATTCCTTATGCATGCATTTTTATTTTATTTTATTGCAAAGCCTACATGACATTATTGTCGTCAATTGCTTTAAAAAGATATGGCCTGGCATCTTAACTCAGATTTCTCCATTCACAACATTAAGCCCCCATCTGGAAGTATCTGATTGAACGTTAGCCAGTTGCATGCGGCTAGCTTTCTGCATAAGGAAAAGAAGAACTGTGTCTCATGGGGAAGGCTTGCAGTTCAGTGACAGAGCATATATCTAGCATGCAGAAAGATCCTAGGTTCAGTCCCTGGTGCTTCCAGGTAGGGCTTGGAGAGCCACTTTCAGTCAGTGTCAACAGTGCTGAGCTAGATGGACCAACAAGCTTGTATGAGGCTGTTCCCTAAGTTCATATCAGAACAGATCTATCAGTGGTAGAACAGTGATGCTTTCCCTTAGTTTTCAACCTCTTTTACACACACTAGCTGGCTTCTCCTGAAAAACACCTTGATATGAGAAAGATGTGCAATGTGGCAGCAGCCACTAGAGGCTGCTGCTGTATAGGAAGAAAGTGGCAAAGATGACATGGCACTCGATTAAAGGACATGCAGCCCTTATCCTAATACTGTTTACAACATTTGAAAACTGCAAAGGTTTAAGTGAAGGCTCTTCCTTCAACCTTGCCTACCATACAGCTCATACTGAAAAGCCATGTCAATTGCTTTTGCAAAGATCAATTAAACCAATTTTTATTTTAAAAGTTTCATATTAATACATCTCAGGTTTTTATGTAGATTACCCCCCCCCCATGGCTGTTCCTATTGTCTTTCTATCCTGAGCTCTCAGCAGAATAAAACATGACTGAAGTTTTTAGTTCAAATGAGGTTCAAGTTTGTAATGTAGGGCATGGGATCAGCATTAAGTTTCATGTTCTATATTATCATGTTGAACTTGCTTTAGTTTACTGTATGTCTTTGCACCTAGCTCTGGTTGGTAGATCTTGGGATTCTAGTACAAAACAAAGGAGATCCAACAAGCTTGAAGTCTCCCCCTGATCTACACTATGAGTTTCTGGGGATCTGGTGTGGTGTTCAGTATATTTCTCCTTTCTCCTTCAGCACCAGGTGGCTTGTACTAAAAGGTTAACAGTATTTATTTCTCCCTGGGACTTCACTTGGATAAAGAGTAGGGGTGCCTATGGAAAGATAGATGAGTGAGACATCCTTTTTCTTTCTCCAGGTAACCAGAAAAGCCTTATTTCCTGGGGACTCTGAAATCGATCAGCTTTTCCGTATTTTCCGCACTCTTGGTACACCTACTGAATCATCGTGGCCGGGGGTGACTCAGCTTCCGGATTACAAAGGGAATTTCCCAAAATGGCCGAGAAAAGACATGAAGGTGTTAATTCCAAACTTAGACCGAGATGGACGAGATTTGCTGATGGTAAGAAAGAGGCTGGAATGAAGGGTTTTGTTTTTTAAAAACCTTGGGGCAGGGATGTTGTAAACCAGAATTTCAGCCAAGAGCTCAATCTGAGATTTAGTCTTAACCAGGGGTCAGCAAACTTTTTCAGCAGGGAGCCAGTCCATTGTCCCTCAGACCTTGTGGGGGGCCAGACTATATTTTTTGGGGGGAAATGAATGAACTCCTATGCCCCAACAATAACCCAGAGATGCATTTTAAATAAAAGGACACATTCTACTCATGTAAAAACACGCTGATTCCCCGACCGTCTGTGGGCTGGATTTAGAAGGTGATTGGGCTGGATCCAGCCCCCGGGCCTTAGTTTGCCTCCCATGGTCTTAATCCTCAAGTGTATTTGGTTATATAGTTGGCTCTGTAGGGATTTGTGATTTCTGCCATTTCTGATTATGACATTACCATTGCATGCAAAGCCTATACTTGGGAATAGAAAATTAGTATTGACTTTGGGATGATAGGCATAGTATCAATCCATTAAGAGAGATATTTCTGTGTGTCCCCTTTTAATTGCAGCAACTATTACTGTATGATCCCAACAGACGCATCTCAGCCAAAGCTGCTTTGACCCACCAATATTTCTGGCAGACTCCATCACGAGATGCCAGAGAGCAACGTGTAGTAGAGAGGTATGGCCCATGAGAGGAGGCAAATCTGCAGTGTGCTTCCCCGACAGTAGTTCCCTGGATTAACCCTTCCTAATAACTGAGCCTCTTATACTTGGAATTGGAATGGCTATAGAGGATGAAACTTGTTCATTCTGGTTTAGAAGTTCTCAGCCTTTTAGTGGGGTTAATGCTATATTCATATAGATTTTGACTGTTCTAAATAGAAGGCAGCCTCTTGTGTTCTTTGAAAACAAACTTGGCACTCTAAGCATTTGATGGGGCAAAATATGATTTGAAATTTTAGGATTGCTATGTATTTGAATTCAATCCTAATCCAGCAACCACATATTATTCTATCTTTGCTGTAGTTCAGGTATTGCATTGCAGAGAAATTGGTTATAGTAACTTAGGCACTGCCAGCACAGCCTGCAGAAGATGCAGTGGACAGGGGATATCATGTCATTTGATTCTCCCTGTAATTAATATGGGAGCTTTTTGCTGGCATTCACACTATCCATGCTCAAGAGGAAATTGTGGGAGAACCAGACATCATGAGACCACCCAGAAATACAACAGATTTTAGTTTCTTTTTGTATCCTTTATCAGCATACTTGTTTACCTTTTCCCTCAAGAAAGGACAAAAACTTGGTCCAAACACAATTCACATTAAAGAATGGTCTTCTTAATCTTGGAGCAGCTGTCGGGCCCTTCAAGTTTTCATTTCTAATTTAATTAGAATGTGAAAGTCTTTGATCATCGATGTGCCAAGAGAGTCACTGAATAAGCTAGATAGAGCAGGATGCTAAAGAATAAATATTTGATAGACTCCAGTTACTGATCTTGGCCGAATACATGGGGGTTGGATCCTGCAAGCAGGGTTCTGCTCATGGATTGCTCCTGCTGATAGAAGGGCAGGGGGAGATAATCTCCACTGATTTCCTCTTTTGCCTGCAATCTCCTGTGTGCTTCCTGAAAATCTGCTCTGGAGGGAAACCAGTGAACTTGTCCCCTACTTCTGCCTGCTCTGAAACAAAGCCACTGCCTAGTTATGGGGTTATTTTTTTAAAAACCTTGTTATTGATGTTTTAAGTCATTTTTATCATTAACTGTTAATATTATTGAAGAAGTTTCTGTATGCACTAAATAAAAAAAATATGCTTTGATAAATCTTTTAATGTAACTTGCTGGTTCTCAAATGTCCTTACTGACAAGAGTGCCTATGATGGGAAAATCTTTTACACCGCGGTCATTTTTGCTTATATTGAATGCATGGTATACAGAAAGAATCTAGAACCGCTATTGCCATTTTGAGCTCCAGCCCTCATGGTCACCAAGGGAATGAAATGTTCTCTGTGTGTGTTGTACATCAGTCTTGCTTGCCTTTTATTGCCCATAGTCCTGCTCTGACCCGACCATTAGATTTCTGATAAAGTGTATTCTTTGGCCATGAATCCCCATGTAACCTTCTGCACTGTTGTTCTCCATAGTTGTTTAATGTTCATTTTATGGGGTCCATTCTTTAGCACAGCCCGTTGCGATTTACTCATGGTTAGGATCCTAATGTGCACACAGGAACCGTCCCAACTTTTTAAAAGATAACTAATGGAGCCTGTTCAATCTTTTAACTTTTTTATTGCATGCATGACAACCATCTAACTCAAAGCTCCTTGATACACAACCCTTTAAACTTGCCATGAAGGCACAGAGTAAAAGTTTCCCAAGCATATCTGTTTATTTTTAAAATCCCATTTATTTCCCTATAGTATACAGCAGGGGTTCCCAAACTGGTCCCTGGACCACTAGTGGTCCATAAGCTTCATTCGGGTGGCCTGCAGCATTTCTGTAAAAAGACAATGAAAAATCATCTAGCACAGCACATCACAATTGCTACAACAGGCAGATAAATCATTAAGAGATCTGCAAAGACCCTCAACATTTTTCTAGTGGTCCATGGGGTAGGTTGGGGAAGTTTGGGAACCACTGTTATACAGTAACTCCTGCATTAGAACCCTTCTACCTTCAGAAATGCATCTTAAAGGTGCATTGCTGCCTTGTTAAGTGAAGTAAGACTAGCAATCTAGAATAGCACACAGCCATTTAGAACTGCCAGGCACTCTGTTAATCTGTGTACAGTATATGAGCTCTGTTGAGGATTTCTTATTTTCTCAGTGCCTGAACTGATATGACTGGTATCCATCAGATGTGGTTGGAAGGAGAAGGAGCCCACTTAGAGGATCTTTCCGGCAACGAGCCATGGCTTCCTTGTAATTAATCTTCTCTTTGGTGATGGGGTCAACAAGATCCTTTTCATAGCTGGATTCATCTTGTAGCATCATGGCCAGATCACTGCTAAGCATGCCAGCCTGGGAAGCTTCTGGCACTGGGATACGGCCAGTTTTCTTGGGATCTATTAGCCCTCCAGTCAGATGTTGGACCTGTAAATAGGGAAAGGCATTGTCCTTGGTCATCCACCCTTTCTGGACTGCCTCTCCTATAGACAGCCTTCTCTTGGTGACTGGATCTTCAATCCCTGTAAAAGCTTTCTGAGCATTCAGCAGCCTTTGCATGTAAGTGTTGTCTATCAGCCCTCTATCAATGGCTTTGTGGACAGAGTATCGATCACGTGAGATAAGGTCAACAATGCCTCCAGTAGCCGCTTGGGCCTCTAGAAGCTTTTGAGCAGTCATTGGGTCCACCAGCTTCTTGCTAAGTGCAGACTTTATGTTGTACTTGTTGTCGGAGGTAGTGTCATACACACCGGCAATGGGGAAGGTATCATCACAGAAGGTTATCTGCACGCCAGGAGGGAAGAAGCTCTGCTTTTGCTGGAAAACAGGGGATGAAACTGGAGACTTGGAAATGATTGAACCAATAGAAAGGGAGGAATTTTGCTTAGTTTCTCCTGCTACCAGCAGAGCAAACTCAGAGATGGGGATCTTGCCTTCCTTGTAGAGCTGGTATTCTTCTTTTGTGATCCTCCTAAAGCGCAGGGCGTCGTCAATGGAGTACTGCTTCCCACTCTTCTTGTCAAGGAGCACAGAAACATCGCCTTTGGGTCCCAGCGTTGTGATTTCTTCCCAATCACATTCTAGTTCTTGCAGCTGAATATATTGACTTCGATCTATCATGCCTCTCTTATATGCCTCATAGGGTGACATATCCTTGCCAGTCTCTGGGTCCAGAATAGAAATCTTTGTGGAGAGGTTAGTTTCTCTCATCTGGGTCTCATGGTTCAGTTCTTCCTTGTTAACTCTGGTTTGGAGTTCCCGGATAGCCCTCTCTTTTTCATAGATCTGATCCTTCTCTCTAAGTATGTCTGCTTCAAGGGAAGAAAGCTCTTGACCAATTTGCATCTTCTTTTGTCTGTCATTCTCTGTCCTTTGGCTCAGGAGCTTGGTCTGCTCTCTAAGGAAAAGGATTTTCTGGTGCTTCTGCCTTTCTAGTTCGTTTAATTCATTCTCAAGATTGTCTTTTTCTTGCCTTGTCAGATTGCGAGTTCTTTGGAGATCGGCTTCTTCTTTGGACCATGTTCTCGTCATGCCTTCTGCTCTTTCAATCTTTTCCTTGAGACGCCTGATATCTTCTTCTGCATTCTGCCGGGCTGTTCTCTCTCTGCTTAGCAGATCCCAGAGACGAGCTCGCTCATTTTCTAGCACCTTATCCTTTTCTACTCTGATTACTTCCTTGTAGATGGTTTTTTCCTGAGACTTTGCTTTTTGCAGAACATCAATCTGGGATTGAAGTTTCTTACATTCCCTCTGCAGGCTCGATACTTGAGCCTTTTCGTTATCCAGTTCAATTCGCAGGTTGGTGCTGGACTGCTCCAGAACAGGATCCTTCTCTACCTTGACCACTTCCTCTGTGATTATTTTTTCCTGCACTGGGGCTGGGCTCTCCTCAATTTCCTTTATCCTCAAGGTGATCTGCCGCATTTCCTTTTCCAAGGCTAGCCTTTTGTTTCTGTCTTCTTGGAAGTTAAGCAGCTTCTCTTTCTCTTCCACCGCAGCTCGAAGCTGCTGGACTTCACGTTCCAGGCGTCGGCGGTTGCTCACTTCATCATCCAAGCTCTTACTTAGCCTGCTGTGCTCATCTCTGAGCTTTGGGTCTCTCTGAGTGAGAACTACCTCCTGGACCACCACTTTTTCCTCTGGTTTTCTCCTCTCCAGAAGCATGTACTTGTTCTGCAGGTCATAGATGGCATCTTCGGTTGCTCTCCTCTTTTGTGATACATTACGTACTTCCTGGCGGAGGCGTTCAGCTTCTCTCTCCAACAGAGGGTCTTTCTCATATCGGACAACCTCCTTGGTAACCAGCTTGGTTTCTACCTTGGATCTTTCCCTCTTCCACTCATCTCTCTCTCCCTGTAGCCTGATCAGCTGTTCTTGGGACCTGCCATTTGTATTCACAAGGTCATTCAGCTGCTGTTTCAGCCTGTCTATTTCTCTCAGAATCTCCGGACTCTTTTCCATCTTCACCACTTCTTTGATGACCTCTTTAAACTCCACAGTAGGAGGCTGAGACTTAAGGACTTTGAGCTCAGTCAGGGCTCTTTCCACCTCTTGGTCAACCCTTGACCTTTTTCTTGAAGCTTCTTGGAGCTCTTTCTTCAAACGTGCTATCTCCTCTTCTGTTTCTGGGTCAAGACGAAATATCTCGTTGACTCTTTCTTTAATCTCCACTTTAGGCTTTTGCTTTTCCACAGTGCTGTATTTGCTCTGCAGCTCCATCAGTTGGCTTGCTAGCAACGAGTTCTTGCTTCTCTCCTCATCAATGAGAGTCTGAAGCTTGGATGCCTCCTTCAGAAGCTCTGGGTCTTGCTCCACTTGCTTTACCTCCTTCACAATGACTTTAGGTTCTGCCGTTTCAATCAGCTTTTCAAGCTCTTCAGTCCTGCTTTTCAGTTTAGCAATTGTATCCACCAGAGACTTCCTCTTGAAGCTGTCTTCGTCAATTTGCATTTGCAATGTCCTGACTGCTTTTAGCATTTCTGGGTCCTTCTCCAGCTTGACCACCTCTTTCAGCACCACTTTCTCTCGGATGTTTGGCTGCATCTGCTCCAGCAAGTGCAGCTCTTTCCTGAGCCGTTCAAGTTCGGAGGAGGAAGTTGAGTTCTCCTGGAGGTGCCTGATTTCCTCTCGGAGTCTGGCTGCTTGGGCATCTAGGCTTGGGTCTTTCTCTATCTTAGTAATTTCTTTTGTAAGCAGCTGAGCTTTAACAACCTTACTATCTTTCTCCATTTGGAGGACCTTATTGTTCATTATCTCAATATCTGCCTGTAGACCCCTTCTCTTCTTAATTTCATTCTCAATTTGATTAGATATTTTGGACAGGTCACTCTCCAGAGTGGGATCCCTGTAGTATTCCATCACTTCTTTCTCCTCCACTCTTTCAATAGGCCGTTGGGTCTTCAGCATGAGAAGTTTGCTCCTCTGCTCTTCCAGCTGCTGCTGAGCCCTGGCTTTCTTGCTCCGTTCCTCTTCCAGCTGAGATTTTAGGGCTTCTGATTCTCTACGGGACCCAGCTGTGTTTTCAGACTGCTGGGTCTGCTCGTGCATCATGTGCACTGTCTCATCTACTTCCTTCTGCAGAAATGAAGAAAATGAATCTTTAGAAAGACAAGCCAAAATGACTCCCAATGTAAACTTTTACACTGCTGCCTATATGGATATGTGGCGGTAGGACTTTAGTTATCTAGCGAACAAGTTTAATAGTGTGATAAAGAGAAAGTCAGAGACAAAACATTGCACAGGCAAACACACCCATTGAGGGAGTGTAGCAGTGATGGTGAGAGGTGAGGAAGGGTGTGGCTAAAGAAGAGGTGTGGCCTGCAGAGATTCCTGGAGGCCACATTCAGTCCCTGGGCTTGAGGTTCCCCATCCCTGCAGTAGAGCATGTCAGAATGACAGCAACTCAAGGCAGTATCCTGGCAGGTTTTGGTATGAAACACCAAGAAATCTTCCTTCTCATTTGCTCCCAGGAGAAGCTAATTGCACTAACTGAAAGTTATGGTTATTCATCTATGCACTATCATTTAACTTAATATGATTTACATATACCTTGTCCATAACTTTCTTGGCAAATTCCAGCCGGCTGACTTGCTCTTTGTTTTGGGCAGCTGTCTCGGTGAAGAGCTTTGTCACATTTTTTTCCTAAAGAGAAAGAGCAAAACACATTATTTTAAGATACCACATCACTTTGTCCTGCTGCCATTTCCCTTCTAGTTCAAGGCTGTCAACATCTGCCAGGCTACAGTACTGAACAAACAACACTGTATGGAAACTATAAATGGGGCCTGCTGTTTAACTGAGATCAGGAATGGGAATGTTACCAGTGGGAGCATTTCTTGCTTTCTTTAAACTGTAAGAGTGTGCTTTGTCAGTTTTCTTCCCTCTTCTACTTGCATTCAAACAGGCACTCCTTGATCCTTCTCCTTTTATTTTATTTTATTTTTATGTGACACACTGTGATGATACATGTGTTAGAAAAGTCTAGGTATAGAGGAATTTGCATCGCAGGAATAAGTAGAAGATAATCACCAGCCAATTCTAAGCCTCTTATCAGCCATTAGGGCTACTGGACAATTTTCTCTTTTTAGCTTTGTGAATCAATATTTATCCTGTAGTTTCCTATGAAATGCATTGCTTTTGATGCTCCCCCCCCCAACCAATCCAAACTGAGAAAAACAACAGCCTAGCTGCATATTAAGGCTGTAGTGTATATACTGCCAAGATGCCACAATACTTTGTTCTGAGATTTTCTAAACTGCTACAAGAGTGTAAACCAGTTGATTAGGAGGGGTAGAAATTTTATATAAAGAAATCTGGGTCCAGGGTCCCAAGCTCTCACCTGTGCTTGGATGCTCTCCTGAAGTGGTGTGACCCGGAGGCGTTTTGCTGAAGAAGCAGTCAACGAAGGGTCTAGGGAGGATCGGTATTTTCCTGCCTGAAGCTCATACTCCTGTTGTTAAAAGAAAAAAGGATGTGGTCAAAGGAAGATCAGACTGGTTCAGCCAACAGGAAATGGAAAACGTATAGAAAGAAACCCTGCAAACATACGTTAAGGACCATCTGCACGTTCTGGGACAAGTTGACCACAGCATCCTTGTCAGATTCTTTACTCTGGATTTCATCTGCCAGCCTCTGCAGGAGGAAAAGGCAGTTAGGACAAGAAAGCACCAGCGGTCTCCCTGGTGCTTAATAAACAACAAGCATTATAATGTTCCTGCCCTGAAAGTTCCTGCTTTCAGTCTAGGTGGGTGGGTGAGCTGGGTTACCTCATCCTCCACTGTGGTGAGTTTGGTTACATCAGTCTGTCAGTAAGACTGCAGAACTACCTAGCATTGGCCGCCTCAAGGAGCCATCATTTCCCTTTCTGAGGGTGTTGTGACCTTTAAACTGCAACACCTTTCTTTGGGTGAAGATACCACACTGCTCACCTTCTGGGCCTGGAGCTTGTAGTTGACCTGGCTGGGTCCATCTGTGGTCTTGACCTGGTACTTGGGAACATTGTTGAGCCAGAACATTAGGTTCTCATTGGCATTTTGGAACTGTTGGTAGGTGAGGCTGGTGTTCCGGAGAGTCTTCTCCCTGCACAAAGAACGGAGACACTGATTAAGAAGCAGCAGCTCAGGTTGTGCCTGCTGTGGTTAAGGGAAAGTGCCCCGTTTATTGACTGGAAGCATTCTGTCAAGTTACGAGAGGCAGGCTGATTCCTTTTTGTTGAAAGACAAGGCTTTGCTTCTGGAAGATGGGATATATATAACTTTTAACCCAGCAGCCAGAGACTGGATAGAAAATGATGGGCTGGTCACTGAGAGGGAAGAGTGGCTACAAAATAGCTATCAGCTTTGCACGTTTTTCTTTAGTTCATTGATCTCAGCCATGCTACAAGGCACTATTTTGTCCACAATGCTATTTAGCATCTATAATGAAGCCACTGGAATCAGTTTTGTGGAGATTTGGAGCATGGTATCTTCAGAATACAGATGACACTCAGCTCTGTGTCTCTGCAACATCTGGATCAGAAGTGGGCATGTCAGTCCTATACAGAGATGCAGTGATTGGCTGGATGAGGGCCAATAATCTGAAGCTAAATTCTGGCACTATGGGTGGCTGGTTCCAAGCTCCAGGAAATTGCCCATTTGCAATTGGAGCAATTGGAGCTTTGAAGGAGCAGGTTCTTAGTTTGGGGGTAGTCATTGATGTATCTTTGTTATTAGAGGCCCCCGTTTTGACTGCAGCTGCTCCTCAACAGGGATAAATTTGGCCACAGTGGTCCATGAACTGGTAACCTCAAGACTGCAGGTAATTACGCAGGTGGCGCTGTGGGTTAAACCACAGAGCCTAGAACTTGCCGATCAGAAGGTCAGCGGTTCAGATCCCCACGACGGGGTGAGCTCCCGTTGCTCGGTCCCTGCTCCTACCAACCTAGCAGTTCGAAAGCATGTCAGAGTGCAAGTAGATAAATAGATAGTTTATTGACTGGAACCTTCCCGGCGGGAAAGTAAACGGCGTTTCCGTGTGCTGCTCTGGTTTGCCAGAAGCGGCTTAGTCATGCTGGCCATATGACCCGGAAGCTGTACGCCGGCTCCCTCGGCCAGTAAAGCGAGATAAGCGCAGCAACCCCAGAGTCAGCCACGACCGGACCGGCCAGGGATCCCTTTACCTTTTACTTTTATGTAGGGCTGTCCTTGAGGTTGGCTTGGAAGCTGCAGTTTGTACAAAATGCTGCTGCACCATTGCTGTCTGGAGCTAATCATTGCCAATGTATGACACCTGCTGAAGCTGGTGCACTAGCTGCTTATAAGCTACTGGGACAGGTTCAAGATGTTGCTATGTGTTTATAACACTCTAAACTACTTGGGACCTGGCTACTTGAAAGAATGTCTCTCTTCTTACACCCCCCACCTGGCCATTATGTTCCATGGCATAGAACCTCCTCATGGTACGTAGAACTCCTACTATTCATTTTGTCTCCAACAGCAGTAGGGCTTTCACTCTTGTGGCCCCTTTAATGTGGAATTTGTTGCCATTGAGGAAAGGCACACTCTGGCAATGGACTCTCTCAAATGCCTCCATAAGATGTTTTTATTTCTCCAAGCCTTTTCTCCCTGATATTTTAAATTATTGTCTTCTGCTCATTTTTTTAGTACAGTGGTACCTTGGGTTACAGATGCTTCAGGTTACAGACGCTTCAGGTTACAGACTCCGCTAACCCAGAAATAGTACCTCGGGTTAAGAACTTTGCTTCAGGATAAGAACAGAAATCATGCAGCGGCGGCAGCAGGAGGCCCCTTTAGCTAAAGTGGTGCTTCAGGTTAAGAACATTTTCAGGTTAAGAACGGACCTCTGGAACGAATTAAGTTCTTAAGCCGAGGTACCACTGTATTGTACTGCACTTTTAATTTTCTTATTCCTGGTGTATATTTATATGTTTTTATATCATCTTCGAGGGCAAAAAGAGACTGGAAGCCACCTGTTCCAAATCTGGCCTGTTAATTAAGTTGGTTCGCAAGGCTGGATGTCCAGATACACACAAACACTTTCCATGCCCACCAATGGAGAGGATTTGGCTTCTTACCGGTGATCCAGCTGGTCAGCAACAGCATGATATCGGTCATTAAGTAGCTGGACCTCCTTTTTCTGCCTTGGCAGATCAGCGCAGTACTCTTCAAAATTGTTCTGCACTGCACTGCAGCTGTGCTCAGCATCCTTGAGGCTGCGGTTCAGCTTCAGCAAGCTGTCCTCATGTTTCACCAAATCTCGCATCAGTTTCTGTGAAAGAAAGAGACCATCCGTTCAGAACAGCAATTTTATTTCAACCTGTGGATTAAAAAAAAACCCTCCCGAAATCTCAGTCTGATTGCTTTCCTTGATCATTTGGTCTTGAAGTGCCAAGCCTGTTTCTGCTAAGTGGAAGGAGACTGGTGTGGCGCTGAGCAGAAATGAAAAGCCAGGTATTGTACTGTAATTTAATTGCAAACCAATGTGTGGAGAGGAAAAAAAGGACAAATAAATAGTTTCACTTGGGGTTTTAGCAAATGGAAAATGTTGCAGCCTCAGTTGGAAGTGAGCCTGGGAGATAAAATTCTCTGGTGGTTAGGGATAAGGGAAGCACTGGCCCAGAAGCACCCACAGAAAGAAAAGAAATACTCCGTTCTATCCCACCCTATACCAATGTCCTTCTGATTCCTGATTCTGATTCACCTGAAGTTCATTGGCACGATCCTGCAGTGCATTGGGTGAGGCTGGGATGATGCCATCATGAGATAACTTGGCCTCAAGGGTGCTGATGATCTTGTCTGTGTTCTCTATCTGATTCTCTAGGTTCAGGCCTGCTTTGGCTCTGGAGAGGGGGAGACATTATAATGCCAAAAGACAACATTTCACTTCTAGGTTGTTTTCTTCAACACCACACCAAAGCAAAAAAAAAGCGCTATATATTGTCCAGGTGAAAACATTTAAGATTTCATAGAAACATTTTGCAAGCTGCTGCCTCCTTTACACAGCAACAGAGTTCTATTCTCTGCCAAAATATTGCTGAAGTCACTTACTTTTCCTCATAGAGCCTGGAGAGCACCTTAACATCATTGTATTTGTTCTTGATGTTGTTGAGTGTCACAGGAAGCTGGGAGGCAGAGGTGCCAGCAGGCTTCTTGGAAAGATAGGCCTCACACTCCTTCTGGGCAGCTTCCTTTTCTGCTCCTATGACTTGAAGTCTCCTTGCTGTTCCCTGATATAAAGGCGGATTTTATTTTTAATCAGTCAGTGAAATTCAATGTAATACAAGAGTCATTTACAAAGAGACCAGTTAGGGACATAGGTCTCAACACCACCAGTGGATTTGAAGCCATTGGATTGACGTGTCTACATGGCCTATAAGCTTATAAGGTTTAATGATGCATCTAGCACCACTTTAAGACTTTTCCAGCCCAATGGAGTTAGGTCACCAGTCATATCTGGGAATACTGAGGCAATTATTTCATGAGCAACTCTCAACCACAGAACCTTCATAGATGTAGCCAAATATTTTAGTTATTTATCCACATCTTTGAGGAAAGCCGTAAAAAAAAGAAAGAAAGAAAGAAAGAAAGAAAGAAAGAAAGAAAGAAAGAAAGAAAGAGAGAACAGGCTAAAATTCATTCTACAAAATATTGAGGGGGTGGGAACGTGAAATGTACAGGCAGAAAAACAGCAGTAGAAACCTCTCTGCCCTGTGAAGGTGTTCATTCCCTCTAAAAATGAACAGGCTTATCAGAGGCACAAGTGAGCAGTCCAAACTTACCTCCTGCCACTTTACCAAAAAAAAGGGGGACTTGCCTCCTGCTCTCTGATCCGTTGAGTAAGGTCCTCTACAGGGTCACTGTGGTTTAGTGGAGACCTCAGGCGGCTGAAAATCTCATTCTTGACTTGGTCCAAGTTACCACCAACGTTATCCAGTTTATGGAGCAACTGGCCGGCTTGGGGATCATCCTGGGCCACAGTGGTGCTTCTGACTGGAACTGAAATAACAAGTACTATTCAATAAAGCATGCAGATATTTGCATTTGTCCATGGGGATAATTGCTATGCCTAAATGCCTCCTGTTCATCTTCTTCCACATCCACCCTGTAAGTTAAGCCTTCCCCTAGGATCTCTGATCCTTATGGATTCCTGCACAAGCAGAGACTGGGCAACTTGAAGGCCCATGGGGAAGAGAGGCAAGCACCTTAACCAACCCATCACGCCACAATGGTATTGCAATTTCCCCTTAGAGAACGGCTGAAATGCTGACATACCCTGGTGGCTGGATTTAACTGGTTCCCTATGGCTGCTTTTCAAGGTGTTCTGGACTGTAGCTCTCCTCTGCTTCACTGTGCTCAGCTCACCTTCCAGCCTGAACAAGACAGGAGGAAGTCAATGTTATTCACAGCCCAGGGCTTCCCTACAACACTTGCCGTGTACACGAGGCAAGCTCAGAGAGACTGCCTCTTTCTAGTGGGGCATTAATCAGGTCATTTTATTCCATATCAAGTATTTATATTGAAATAATTGTTGAAAAATAAATAAATAAATATCAGAGCAGCTTATGACAATCGTATATAAAACCAAACAGTAAAAATAATGTGAAATTTTAAAATCAGAGCTGCTTTTGTATTGCTGCTTCCCAGTAACATCTGCAGTTAAACTACCTAGCTTGCAGGCGGGTAGTTGACATGGTAAGTGACGACATTAGTTGCCTGACCTGTGAGATTGCTTCCTATGGACATTAGCTGAGCTGTGTGTTTGAGAAGCATCCACACAGAAGTGGTCCCATGCTGTTTAAGTACCCCATGAATTGATTTCTGCTAGAGATTTCTCAGAAGATACTTTCCCATCAGCTTTTACTTTGACAAAGGCCAACGGGTACTTTCTAGGGTGTGTATTGTTTCCTTTGCCACATGCACTCTGGAAAGTGTCCATGAGCCTTGCAGCAGTTTATACTTCTACCGTGGGTGCCTAAGCACCCACAAAATTCTCCATGAAGGGGCTGGGCACCCACAAATTTTAGTGCCAGGGCCGTGCACGCTGCATGGCACCCATGGCCCCAGGCACCCACAGTTGTGAGGCCAAGCTGGCACTCCTGCTTCTACTTCCCTCTGTCCAGTGCATATTATTATTATTATTATTATTATTATTATTATTATTATATATACACACACACGCATACACAGGCAGCAACCATTTTGCGCATGTCCAATTGATGCACGAACACCAATGTGCAGGACTTTTGGACCTGGAAAAGGGCGGAATGGGGATGGAGCCAGGGGAGGGGCGGGCTAATGTGCTCTCCACCAACATGCACAGGGCTCAGGAAAGGAATCCCCACACAAAATGGCTGCTGCCTGCTTGCTATTTTCCATTCTCTAAGCCAATCCATTGCCAGTCTCTCCTTAGTGGACCCAATCCATTGCCAGTCTCTCCTTAGTGGACTTATTCCGTGTGCAGGCCAACCAGGCATGCCCTGGATACTCTATTCCCACCCCCGCCCCACCCCCAAACAGCCAGGCCACATTTTGTCCCCACTGAGTGTGCTCATTGAACTGATTTGGGGTTCTCACCCGGAGCTTTCTCAATGTTGGTTTTTTTTTTGGTACTTCTCCAAACACTGGGGTTTCCTCAACCTTTCTGGTACCTCCCCCCTCTTGAGGATAGATTATGCTGTCTTAGCTACATAAATATCTCTACTTGGAAAACTGTTCCCTGAATGCTTTACAAAGATCAGTCTTAGATTCTGGTGGTTGTCTGCACTGTTTTGGAGTAAATGTGGCATCCTGATAATGCCAAAAAAAGAAAGAGTACTAATTAGAAAAGATAGCACATATTTGCAGAGCCTTCAGTGGGAGAGGTGGAATCAACAAAGACCAATTTGTTAAGGAGCTGGAAGGACATAAACTAATTAAAATTCCTGTTTCAGAGAGTCTCCTAAGCAACAAATGACATGAATAGTGTGTATTTTCGGGAGGAAAAATGAACAAGAGAAAAGGGAAATTGCTGCCATGGTGCCCCTCCTAATTATGCACCACTGTCTTAAGGCTGATTCTCAGTGGTGACAATAATCACATTTTTAGCATATGTAGATGTGCAAGTTCCACTGGCAGGGCACTCATGCTTGCTAACATGAAAGCTTTATGGAGTGACTACTGATGCAGCACCCTGCATGAATTGCTGTCAAAATTATACACCACTTGATCGTAAAAAACAACAATTCTCCAAGTGATTATGGAAAGTCTATGTGTAGAGGCTACATGATACCACAAAACCCGCACCTTAAACAACAGGCATATGGGAGCCTGAAAACCATTTCCATCCAGCAACATTTCACTACCATCATGAACCAGATCTTTTGCAGCTTCCGAGCACATGCAGACATAATACCCGCATGATAGAATGCCATTAAACCTCTTTTATAGAGAAGAACCTCTGATATGGGACAATTTCCAAAACCATGGTTCAACCCCATCGTTTTTAAAGGTGTTTTGTGTTCTATACTGCCCTAATATTTTATGATATGGCATTATATAGTTTTATAAATAAATAAAAATAAAACCCGTATTCACCGATTTTTAAAAATCACCAGTAATGAATAGATAGAAAATATGTTCTTATTGTTTGTGGCATGTGCACTGATAGTGGTATACTCATGAGACAGAGAGAAAAAGCTTTGTACTCACCTGTTAACTCTCTCTATGGCCTCTAGATCTGGAGGGGGGATGGAAAAGCAAACAGCAGGTGCTACCTTAGTCTCTCTACTGGCATTCTGCACGACCCAGTTTTCCTGGTTGCTGTTGTCATGCATCATATACTTCTCTCCCATCTCGAGCCGCCCCTGGAAGGAAGGAAGGAAGAAAGACAGAAGGAAAGTTTTGGTTTTGAGAGAATTTCAAATATAGCCACCCTTTGCTGGAAAGACAAACTCAAGACATTGTTCAGATGTCACAAAATGTTGTTCTTTGTTTCTGCAGCTCAGAGGTGCCCTGGGTCTATTTTAGATGTTTGTACATGTACACATTTGGTGCCATTACTAAGAACAGAAGAAGAGCCCTGCTGCTGGATCAAACCAAAGACCTATCTACACCAGCATCTTAAATCCCATAGTGGCCGACCAGATGTCTCTGGAAAGCCCATAAACAGAGCATTAGAGCAAAATCCCTCTCCTGTCCATAATTCCCAGAAACCAATATTCAGATACACTATCTCTGATTCTGATGATGGTATACAGCCACCATGACTAGTAGTCATTGTTAACTTTACCCTACTAGCCCCAAATGAGTGGAATGCCATATATAGTGATTTCCCTTAAACTCTGTCACTCTGGTATATCCTACAATAAAGGGATCAACTGTGCGGTGTCACACCTCCTCACTGTTTGTGGTGTGCTACAGATTGGTTGTTGCACTGTCTTAGGGATATCTGGGCATAGAGAACTCTCATACCACACTGTTCCTTTTTCAAACATGGCACCCAAATACTTCACCGCTGCTTTTCCTTCTGCTTGATTTGATGCAGAAGTAGCAGCAAAAGGGAGATTAAAGCAACCTCTTCAGAAACCACAGTGAGGTACACGGTACACAATTTCAGAATAATCAGTTTCCATCACATATGATACGACAAGGCCATTTTCTTACATCACTCAAATCCCAGTCACAGATGGTAGTCACGGTAATTGGCTGGGAGGGTTGGAGTCTGCGGAGTTTCAAAGGGCTAATCTCCTTGCTCCTCCTTTTCAGTTCAGCAATGCTCCTCTCAGCTTGTTTCACAGACTTCTCATCGTTCTAGACAGGAAAGAGGAGGAGAGAGTTCAGAGCTGGTGCGTATTTTGGGCAAATAACGCAGCCTAGAGCAGGACCAGAACAACTTGTGGCCCACTAAGCCATGCAGAGCCCTCAGCCCTATACATTGGCCTGCTAGGTAGATGACAATTTTCCTATTTTCAAAGATCTAGGCTAGTTAGCGAGCTCCCGGTGCTCTGCCATACATAGTTAGTGGAAAGCATTTTGTTTGATGGCCTGTAAGTTGTGTGGGCTGGGTGTTGATGGGGCTGGAGACCCTAATTTTGAGGATGTTGATGGCACAATGACTTTTGTTCTGTCCACACATTCAGAAGAAAGCATGGAAGGGGGACTTGGATCATGTTTGCTGTCTCCATTCCTAAAATGCACATTAATCTGAAGGTCTGAAAGAGCTTGTGCATGCACAATTTGTACACACATTGCACAATCAGGAACTTTTCAAAAGGCACATGATCTCACTGCTCAACCCAGGTCAGCCCTTCATCCATCATCTTCATCTGAACAGAACTCCTGTGTTTTATTAATTCTTATCTGGGGAGCAAAACCTTCTGGGAGAGAACCCAGTCACAAGGCACAGGAACTAGGTGCAGTTTCCCCCCCAGCAACTCATCTTCCCTCACCTCCTCCTTTCCCCTCTTATCTTAGCTTCTCTTCCCTCGATTTAATGAAGTGAATCAAGTCCACTTGTCCAATTTATAACTCCCAGGCTGTGCACCTAACTGAATTTAGATGAAGCCATAAAAATAATTAGATTTGGTTGCTGCAATAATCCAGGAGAGGCACGGTTGCTCCAGGCCAGTAATTAAAACGTAAGAACTTGTTGAAATCACGTCCCCATTCCCCCTTGTGGTTCTCACTTCCAGCTGAAGGAATAAATCAGACACCACTCCTGGACTGTCCTTGTTGAACGTGCTGTATTTCGTATCAAGGTCATTGTTCAGCTTGTTTAGCGAATGGCTCACAGCATCAGCATCGTCATAGAACTAAATACAAAAAAAGAGAGAAGAGCAGTAGCAAAACAGTCAGAGAAATGTACTTTGACCATGAAATTCAGACACTGCTAACTTCTGCTGCTGTGCTCCTATAGCAGAATGTTCATGTTGCTGTTTTTGCCAAACTTTAACTATATAGCCTCATCCTATCAGGTCAGTGCAAGCATCAGGGCTCCAGAGTTTGTCTGCTTCCACTAGTTTCCCATTGCTGTGATTGGGGCCTGCATTAAGACCTCAACAGTCATGTGACCCAGTACTATGTGGCCATGACTTTTGCCTCTATGCATTTGGTTTGGTGCTAAAGCATTTAAAATGTTGGAGGCATGCCCTAATTCTATCAATACCAAGATCTTGCACAGAGACTCTTCTACAGGTTTCCCTCCATATCAGGAGTGGCAGATGAACATTGGGCAATAGTCGCTGCCATGGTGCCTCCCATATTCTGTAATGCTCTTCCCAGGAAAGCTTGCCTGCCACTTACTTTGATGACCTTCCAGCACCAGGTGAAGAGCTCTATATTTTCTAAGGTTGTGTAATGGTTTTTACATCTGCTGGCAAATGCATGCTGCTGTTTTAGATTTTGCTGCTTTTAATACGTCGTTTGCAAGTGGCAATGGCTTTAATCACTTGCATGGTATTGGATTTTGATTCTTTGTAAGCTGCCCTAGGAATGCGTCTGAAGGATGAGATAGAAATTTCAATAGCAATGAAGTAAGAAATCTCTTTTGTAACCCCCCCCCCAAAAAAAAGGGATTCAAAGAGTGTTAAAAGGACTACGTTAGATTCAGACCTGCCTTTCCACAAATGGAAGGTCTGCTTCTGTTTGTGGAATGGACTCAGATCTAGCAGTGGCTCTGATGGGTGGAAGAGAGTGGGCAAGGGTGATTTTTGTTAAACCTTTGCTCCCCAACCCCAAAGCCCCTTGCACTGCTGCTTTGGAAGCAGTTCTAGAGCAGCTTTGATGGGGCACAGGGAGAAGGACTGCTCACAGAAAATCTGAATCGAGCCCTATGAAATTAAGAGATTTTCTGCAAAAACAAATGCAACATGCATTGCAGGGAGTTGGATGAGATGACCTTTAGGGTCCCTTCCAACTCTACAACTCTATGGACATACTAGACAAACAAATGCTTTCAGACTCTGAACAAGGAATCTTTCTAAGCTATGGGTGAGGAGGGATCCATGAGATGGCGCAGGCTCAAGCAGTTCAAAGTGCTGAAGGTGTACCTTCTGATCACTAAGTTTCATGTGAACTTTGTCTGCCTGCCCTTAGGAAACTGCCTAAATATTTTAAAAGTTTCTACACATGATCATGAAGATTTGAGATCCCTGGGGTCCCTCATATACCACCTTCTAGTACCCTCCCACAATCTACCTTTCTGTAGTTCTCTATGTTCTTCAGATGGTTCTCTTGACAGATGCACAAGTAGAGAAGATTCTGCCACTCATTCTTAAGCGCTTCCTGATGAGCCTGCAGTGGAAATGAAATAGTTCTCATGTCATTCTCCATCTAGCTTCATGGTTTTCCGCGGAGTTTCTTTTCTGTTAACCCCCAAACTGGCAGAAGTATGTAGCTGTGGGCTGCTGAATCCACACAACAAAGGCAATCATATTACAGGGGAAAGATAATATGCTGTTCAAAATCTGAGAGAGGGAAATCAACACATTTGCTTTGTATCATGTGAACTTATCAGTTTCTATAAGGTCTGGATCAGAGGTGTGTCGTAAAACATTTTTGAAAAATATTAACATTCAAAACACACGTGTAAGCTCGTTGCACAGTTAGAGCAGTGTTTCCCAACCTTGGGCCTCCAGCTGTTTTTGGACTACAACTCCCATCATCCCTAGCTAGCAAGACCAGTGGTCAGGGATGATGGGAATTGTAGTTCAAAAACAGCTGGAGGCCCAAGGTTGGGAAACACTGGGTTAGAGGATGGACAGCGGTGTAGTTTATTCTTGTGCAACATCTCATTCCCCGAATACTAATGCCATCAGATTGCAAAATATTACCACTCCCTGAGAAGCTGCATTGTTGGACTCTAGCCCAAGCTCTCCATGATTATATTCTCAGTTGAGAATATAATGCCAAACTTTAATGTAGCACAAAGCAAAAACTCCCCAGATGACCTTGCTCTGCAATTTATGTTTCCTTCCATAACTGACCATTTCCAGGGCATTTGTCTGCTTGTACATATGACAGGCCAGAACTTTGACCCAGCTATTCCTACATACCACAAAACCATGAAGAATTTTATGTTTTGGTACACAAGAAAAGGCCTTTCGGAATGGGAGCTTTTGAATCGGGTCACCTGACAACCTGTTTATTGAACATGCATCATGATCCATTTGCCCTGAAGAACCAGAGGGCAGAGAACCCAGCAGATCCAGCAACATATAGCATGGCCCAATTAGTATGGTATTGTCAAACTTAGGTTTGTCTTTTTATACCACTTTAGCTGTCATGGCTGCCTCCTCAAAGAATCCTAGGAATTGTAGTTTGCCAAGCTGCAGAAATTTCTCTGTGAGTCCACCCACACCCCTGCTACAATTCCCAGGTTTCCTTGGGAAGAAGGGGATGTCTGCTAAGCTATTTTTGTAGTGTGGATTTGTCCAACAAAACACAGAATGTAAGGTTGGCGTAATTGTTCAGAGAAGATCCTTCATCTAATGCAGATTGCAAAACTTTGGGGGAAATGATATGGGTTTTTTAAGTGGCACATTAGAGTTGCCTGCTCTCAGCTCTCAGGATGTGGTAGGTTTTAATGGCGAAACAGTATCTCAATAAATACTCTTTTATTTTGCTGTTCTCCTGAACTCGCTCTGGAGGGCCATATAATATCACAAACATTTAGACATAGCTTGAAGCAAGAGAAATCTAGAACAATTCTTCATTAAGCAGAGGGGGAGGGGAATTGGTGGTCTTCCGGATGTAGTTGGACTCCCATCAGCCCCAGCCAGCATGACCAATGGTCAGGGATTATGGGAGAATCAGTGCATAACTGTTTGAAGATCTGGGCACAGAGAGAGTTCCAGGTTCTGCACCTACCTGAATTGGGCTCACAGCTGGATGCTTCAATTCGACCATCCTCTCTCCATCATCTTGGAGGGTATTCACATACTCTTCTTGGTTAAGGAGTTCATTATTTTTGAAATCCTGCAGGAGGATCAGAAGGAGCCCACTATATAAGCACTTTGAATGCTAAGAGGTCCTTTGCATTTTAGGAGAAGCAGTAGCCCCACATGTCCTAGAAAATGCCAAATCTACCGCTAAGCTTAATTATTAGATGCCTTTACTGACGTCAGTGGGGCAGAGAAAACTCCTGCTGCTCAGATTTTCATATAAAAGTGTGTGAGAGAGAGAAACAATGCATTAGAAGACAAAGAGCATGTTTACATAATCTCTTCTCCCAATAAAACAACTGGAAAAATGTGAAGTTCATGTGGCTAGAACTTTCCAGGTGTGCCCCAGAACCAATTGGCTAAGGAATCCAGGGCATAGATTAGTGATAGCTCATGTCAGCTGAAAGTAGTAGGACTTCTGTTCCCAAATCCCCATTCACAAATGGTTTGCATGCAAAGAAAGAAGCATCTAGATGCAAAAGTATCTGTTTTCCCTTTCCTTGTTGCTGGCTCTCTCATACACAGATACCCATGCCACAAAGCAGCCTGGAACAGGTTCCCCAACCATTTATATAAAAGTTTCATAACATGGTAGGTAACTTCCTCCATCCTCCCCATTTACATTTTCTCTTCTCTGCTTCCTCAATGTTTCCATGCTTGTGTGGCATTTTGTAGCTCCATAAAAGGAGCACTAGAGAGCATGCATGCTCAGAAGAAGCCTAAAGGATGGTTTCTTCTGGGGTCCACCCTTGTTCTGTTAACCAAGTCAGAGTAACTACGAACATGCCCAAGTTCAGAGAGCTTTGACTGACCAGAACATATTGAATATACGTTGGGACTCTCCTCTGAGTGTGGACTGAGGTAAAGGGCAACAACAAGAGCAATAGGCCCAGTTATCTGTTTAGTAAATTGATGTTCAACACTGATAATTAAAAGGACTCCTACCAATGCAACTATGCTGCATGTTGGTGCTGTTACACATATGAATCATTGTGAGCTAAAAATCACTTTGGAGAGTAAATAAAAGAAACCCGCATTCCCTGACCAAAGTCTTATCCAAAAAGTTACCATGGGTGGCATTCAACAGTTTTATTCAGAGCAGATCAACTGAAATTAGGTATGTTCATTGATTTCAATGGGTATACTCTGAGTACAACTTAGTTGAATACCACCCTTTGGGCAGGATTCTACAAACAAGCCTTGTTAGGCGAAGCCCACACAATAACGTCCACTGCATGCAGGACATGGCTCCCAAAATTGGTTCTGCAGGTGTTGAGGGAACCCCCAGGACACCATGAAAGGGAATTCTTCTGTCTGGCAAGTCAAAATTATTGTGCTTATGGAACCCTTGCCAAAGCACTACGTTGAATTCTTCCCCAAATCTCCTGTTCTTCCCTATCAGGTGCTTTTGTTTTGCAATGCCGTTACTTACCTCGTACTCATGCCGCGCAGACTGGGGGTCAGCCATCTGGTCACTCCAGTCCTGCCTCAATATCTTGTTCTGCTGCTCTGTGAGGTAACCCAGCTCCTTAGTGCAACCCTGGAGGTGTGTATAGAGGCTGCCCAAGCTCTGGCCCCTCCAGATAGAGGCTTTCTATCCATTTGGAGAGAGAGAGAGAGAGAGAGATTTCAATGCCTTGGCAGCAATTTTAACTTAGAATGCCTATAGCCCGTTTTAGGGAACGTGGTTCGTTTCAATTCTCCCTCATAATATAATTTGACACCGCAACAACTCCATGAAGTAGTTTAGAATGAAAGACAAAGGCCACCGCTGAATGTTTATCATATGAACCTGGATCTCCCTCTACATCCAGCCTCAAAACCTCAGTCCAAAAACTTCCCTGCAGAGACGCTGGCTACTGTGGGGATGGGTGACTGAAATGAAGGTGTTTGTGCTCAGTGAGTCATGTGGCTTGTTTGGTTGCTTGAAGTGGGCCCTCAGGTTCTGGAAACCATTGTGTGGAAGGGGCAGAATTTAAATACTGCACCCAGGGCATTCAAATGCTTTTCTTTTCCTCACGCTTCCAATTACACGTTCAGTGCTTCCTTTATGCAAGGAACCAGGAACTGTAAATAAGGTACTGGGAACTAGTAACCAACTTCAGCTTTGTAGGAGTGTACCTAGGGGTTGACCAGGTTGGCACCTCCAAGGCTGCAGGCCCAAGTATGTGTGCGAAAATTGCACCTCTCCACTCTGCCTTGGAGTGGCTAGGAGGCCACCTGCCCATTCCCCAGCCCATTCCTCTGCAGCTCTGGGGTGGCTGGATGAGGGGCGAAGGCTCCTCTGGGGTCTCAGAGGAGGAATCCAGTTGCTGGTGTGGGCCTTCACAGCAGCCCTGTGGGGACCCCTCCCCAGGTGGCCAGCAGCACTATTAGAAGTGTGAGCGGAGCACCCAGCATGGCTCAGAGGGAATAAATATGGAGACAGTGGGTGAGAGTTGCAGGAAGAGGGAAAAGGAAGGGATAGGGAGGAAGTAGAAGGGAAAGCAGCAAGTGGAGGAAGGGAGGCAGGAAGCAGACAGACAGATGATTGAGGAGGAGGAGGAGAATCATAGAGTTGGAATAGACCACAAGGGCCATCGAGTCCAACCCCCTGCCAAGCAGGAAACACCATCAGAGCACTCCTGACATATGGTTGTCAAGAAGAAGGAGAAGGAGAAGGAGAAGGAGAAGGAGAAGGGAGGCAGAGTAGAACAGACCCAATCCTGATGGCTGCAGAGGAAATCACTGGCACAGTGTGAAAGGCAACAAATAGCAAACTTTTTGAGTGTCTGGTCCATAGTCCCTCCCAACTTTGAAGGTCCCAATATAGCTTCTTGCCAAGGGTGCAGAGGTATGCCTAGCAGTGGAGGAAGCCACTTGGGTGCCTGGGGCTGCGCACCCAGGGGTGGGGCGAGGGCAGGGCACCCATAGGGGTGGGGCACACCGCGGAGCCTCCGGAGTCTGCCTGCCTCCTCCCACTCAGCCACCCTACAGCTGGGGGGGGGAGGCAGCGAGCTGGACCGTTTGGGCAGCGCAGAGCCTGCACGCGCCCAAGCCACCACGTCTCTTCCGGGAGAGACGCGTGGCTCGGGCGCGCTGCAGGCCCCGTGGTGAGTGCCGCCTGGTATTTTGTCACCCCCCTCAGTGGTGACACCTGGGGTGGCCCGCACCCACCTTCCTCTGCCCCTGGGTATGCCTCAGCAGCTTTGTAAGTGCTTCAGGAATCAACTAGTCCAGGTTGGGACGCAGCTAAACATGCCTCATTTTCCCAACAACTCCCTGCCTGAACCTGACAGTTTTCTTTAAAATATAAAAGCCTCTTTAATAATCCATTTGTTTTTTAAAAAAGGGAAAATAAGTTACCTCATAGAGAAAAAGTGATGTTGTGGTCTATGGATTAACACAGTAAATTCTATTCTAGACATATTGGAAAAGATTCTTACCAGCAATTTCTTGTGCCGGCTCCTTAAATCTTCTGCTTCCTATTTGTTTGGTAAGGAGGGCAGGGAGAGAGAGAGAGAGAGAGAGAGAGAGAGAGAGAGAGAGAACATTCACAAAGTAATTGATTATAAGTTTAAAAAAATAATTTCACAGACTATAGAAAGTTTTATTTAAAAAGCAGACCTTGTCTTATTGCAGGCAATTGTCAGGGTCCAATATATGTACTGTAGGAAAGTCAGTGAAGACTTATTTTATACAATTTGGATTCAAGTAGAGTCTTCTGGCTTTTTAAATAAATTGATGCTAACAAGTTTATTTCAAAATGCTGGTATTCTGTGTGTACTAATTCAGTGTTTATCATTTTAATTTGAATCAGATTCAGGAAAGTGATGCTGGGAACATTGAATTTTGAACATTGAGTGCAAAATTCTGGCTTTGTTTCATCCTTTCAAAGCAGACTACTCATAGCTTTCTGTTTAAAGAATGGCAGCAGAAAGCTATCAATTAGCTAAGTCGGCCTTTACTTTTGGCTACCAATTAGTCATCACTGTCAATTAGCAATTTTACTTTACTAAGGTAATTAAGGCTCAGTCTGTTTCTGTAGGCTGTTATTATCACACAGTTCAGTAATAGCGCAGCTGAGGTATAATGTCCTTAAAAAGGCCACATAATCACATAATGTCCCAAATGTGTAATACTCTCCCCCCAGAAGTCCATTTGACACCTACAGTGTTAATTACTTAATTAATCAATGAAGCATTTATTGACTGGCTTTCATATAAAAATAAAAATGTGGTTTGCATAATAAAACAGTAAAATACCTTAAAAACAAAAACAAATACCATAATTTTTTGAAGAACCAAAGCTATGTTTATTTAAGCATCTTTCATGTGTTATCTTTTCAGCATCAGCTCAAAACTTCATTATTTTCTCAAGTTTTTAACTGTTGAGATTTTATAGACCTTTTATTTATAAGATGCTGAGCCTGTGCTGGACAGCCCAAGATATTGTATGAAATTACTTGGATGTATCACTGATGTTTTTGTTCTGTTTTGAAGAAAGTTCTGCAAGTAAAGTTTTGAATAATATCTAATGGGTCTGGACCATGTTTCATTTCAAAAGGAGTCAGTTTTTATGCACCTAGTTGCTTCCAGCTGCACACAATAGTAATATCTGCAAAACTCTATACAACCTCGGAATCTGTATGGTTGAGGGAACCCTACTGAACACATTCTGGGGGCACACAATGGGGTCTATCAACAGAGTTGGAAAGGTAGATGAAATATGCAATTTTACCGGACTATGAAGGTTCTTGATCTGGAGTCCATATGCTTCAATTTCCTTCTGAAGGATGTTGTGTTCGGCTACCTGTTTCTCCAGCTCTGGCATAGTAGGTCCATATTTCCCTCCATCGATTTCTTTCTGCAACAAAGCCAGTAAGAGCACTTTAAGGGTTACCCAACTGAGAAAGACCAGTCCATTCCTCTAACCTCCTACGCCAAGATCTGTTCCTCATGGTAGCTGCCAGCAATAAGGACCCCCTTACCTTGTGATGTTGGAGGTTACTGAGCACCAGAACAACAGAGCAGGAGAAAACAGAAGAGGGGAGGCAGAGGTTCTCAGGACAGGTTCAAAAGGCCTGGTGGTTTTACCAGCACAAAACCATTATTGGTAAAACTGCCCCCCCATAAACTTTTTTCTGCCATGAAGCTTTTCAGACAGAGGAGAATCCTTTGATTCAGGAGGACCTTAGGCTGTGTACACAATATACCTTTAATACACATTTAAAGCACATTTCCCCCCTCAAAGAATTCTGGGCACTGTAGTTTGTTAAGGCATACTCGGAATTGTAACTCTGAGGGGTAAAATACAGTGCCTAGAATTCCTTTATGGGAGAAACATGCTTTGAATGTGCTTTAAAGGTATAGTGTGTACACAGCCTTAGCTGTTGATTTTTCAAGGAAGCAGGGCAGGAGGAGAGTTAAGGTTCATGCAGAGAAGAAACAGCTGGGTAGGCTTACATCCAAGACAACAGTGTGGCTGGCAGCAGCCAAAATATCTTCTAGCTCTGCAATGCAAATGCCTCCAGCCGTTACTCTGCCCATAGCTGGGACACCAGAGAAGAGAAGTGTGTGTGTGTGTGTGTGTTGTCTTCCTCACAGACTTTATTAGGGGCCCATAGAGTAAATAGGAGATGTTGAGGGAAGCGTAGACTGGATCATCATCCAAACAGGGAATTTGACTCCCCCTGAGTCAGGGGAGGAAGAAGTCGGTTGTGCACTAAGGAACCCTGTTTCATCTGCTGGTAGATCATCATAATCATCAACAACAACGTTATCAACAAAGTATTATTATTTATGCCCTGCCCAGCTGGACACCAAAGAGCTGTAGTGATGACAAGGCAACCCTCCATTCTAAAACCTCAGGTCTAGTGCCAGTAGTTGAAAGCAGGTCTGTGGCAAAGGGTATGTTCAGTAGCAAAACAGCTGCCGGTTCATCTTGACTACAAGCCTGGGGCATTTATTTCAAAGGCACTATTAAAGCAGCTGCATCTTCCGGGTTGCTTTAAGATATTTGCAACATTAAAAAAACTTTCTCAGGTTTACTGCAAAGAAACTGCATTTAACAATCCAAACAAACCCCCTTCTGCTATAGTTCCTTCAATGATGGCAGTGACAAGAGGGCCTAAGGTTGCGATCCAAACCATAGCTACTATGATTATCAGGATGACCAGGTTGAATTCCCATCAAGTTGAATACTGGGCCATATCTGAAGATGGTCTCATCTGCTATCAATGATTGAGCCAGGGGAGGTTATTGCTTTTGTTTGTTACTATGTTATGTATTTTTGTGTTTTTATATAGTTAACTGCCCCATGAATCTTTGGATGAAAGGCGGTATAGACATTTAATAAATAAAAATAAAATCCTCATGAACATAACTACACTTCTTGAATCATGCCTTTTGTTTTCCTTAATGGAATTAATGTTCACCTTTATTAGCAAATCTGCTTGCTCAAATCAAATACCAGTGTATCCAGTTAGCAACCTTTACCTGCTTTTGTTCTAGAATTTTTCCCCAGTCCACTTTGGAACCAGCTTCAGGAAGTGTAAACTTTTCATACAGATCTCGATATTCGGCACATTGGTGTGTCACTCGGCCGTGCAGCTGCTTGATGCTTTGCAAGAAAGAAGGAAGTTTCTCTGTTAGAAATTAGGTCTCCTAACCTAAGGAAGATTTGACCAGGACCACAATGAAAGGTTTGGTCTGGAGTTTATCACCTATTGATGTCAGTCAGCCACATGGGTTACCATTAGGGATGGGAGAATCTGTCAATTTAAGTTTATCAGACTTCCATTTTAGTGTAGACTCCTCCTAATATACACATTTTTGTATACACATTTGCCTAATATACAGTGATACCTCGGGTTACATAAGCTTCAGGTTACAGACTCCGCTAATCCAGAAATAGTACCTCGGGTTAAGAACTTTGCTTCAGGGTGAGAACAGAAATCGTGCTCAAGCGGCGCAGTGGCAGCAGGAGGCCCCATTAGCTAAAGTGGTGCTCCAGGTTAAGAACAGTTTCAGGTTAAGAACGGACCTCCGGAACGAATTAAGTACTTAACCTGAGGTACCACTGTACATATATCTTTCTAAAGCATATTTCCCCATATATTTACATTTACCCTAATTAATTTCTCTGCTGCTTTATGCATTTCTGAGCAACTTTACCTTAGTACATGCATTTTTGTACACATATCTTGGGTTGGGGAACCACACTGCAAAATTCAGAGAAGTGCAAATTTTGAATAATAGAATTGTAAAGATGGAAGGGAGCCTGAGGATTATCTTTTCCAACCCCCTGCAATACAGGAATACACAGGTGTCCCAAATGGGTATCAAACCTGCAACCTTGGGATTATCAGCACCATGCTCTTGCCAACTGAGCTATCCAGGCATGGTTGAATTTCAGTCTGTACATTGTTTTGGAAGGTGCAGATTTGGAAGATTCACCTTAAAATGCAAACTGAATCTAATTTGTGCCTCATCCCTAGTCACCATGCAACTAGGGCCAGGGCCTTTTCAGTACTGGCCCCGACTTGGTGGAACGCTCTGTCACAAGAGACTAGGGCCCTGCGGGACTTGACATCTTTCCGCAGGACCTGCAAGACAGAGCCGTTCCGCCTGGCCTTTGGTTTGGACTCAGTCTGACCCCTATGTTTCCCTCCCCTTATGGTTTTGATCTATGAGCTACTATTAAAATGAGGCTGCATTTTAAATTGTATTTTGACCCATATTTTAAATTGGTCCCCCCCCATTATGTTTTTATTGTAATTTTACTAGTGTTAGCCGCCCTGAGCCCGGCTCTGGCAGGGGAGGGTGGGGTATATATAAATATTATTATTATTATTATTATTATTATTATTATTATTATTATTATTTAGTTCAGAAGGGTTGCAAACAAATAGAAGCATTACAAACTCACTCTTTTTCAATTTCCAAGGCCTGAGGGTGCTTCAGACGTTTGACTTTGTCCACATCTAGGAAGAGGTCCTTCAGTAGCACCTCGGCCTCTTTCAGGTTTTTGGCATTCTCCTGCTGGAACTCAAAAGGCTTGTTCTGCTGGCGGTAACTGCTGTCCTGTAATCAAAAAAAGTGTTGGTGCATAAATGCCATTATCCATCGGAGATGGTAGGAAGTGGCTGTGAATCATGAAGCCAAATCTTACTCTTGAGTACAAACAGGCAGCTCTCAATATTTTCACAAACTTGAGGAAAGTGTTTTTCGTCACGCAGTGCATAATCATTAATTTATAGAAATCACTGCCAAAATATACACTGGTAGCCTCTAGCTTAGAGGATTGAAAAAACCAGGTGAGACAAATTTATGAAGGATAGACTTAGCATGCTGAGGGAACAACAACAGATGATACTTCCCGAAGGCATTGGGTTGGAGACAAAATGATGTATTAAAGCTCTTGTACACCACCTAGACATTGGGTGTGCTTATACATATGCAGCTGAAACTTCAGGGTTTTAATGCTCTACTCAGGGCTTTCTCCAATACCCCTTCATCTCTAGCACATAGCGTGGGTCTCATATCAACCTCCCAAATTTACCTGCTTAAGTTTGTTTTGTGTTTCAAGGATGTCCTTTTCCACCTGGTCAGCATTTTTTTGCATGCGAGAGATGAGCACAGCCAAGTCATTTGTGCTTGAGGATCTGAGGACAAGAACAGAGAAATTAGGTGCATACAAATTACAGTAGTTTGCTCAAAGTTTTCATCTGAGTCATGGCCCGATTAATCATTATGTAATTACCAAATACAGGTGACTCTCCACTTACCTTCTGGACCGCCCCCCCCCCATAAATGAAAAGCACGTAAATGGGGAGTCCTAGTGGCTTTTCTGTGTATCAGCTGAACATCCTCAACAAAGCCTTGCTGCGCCCCCAGCTCACAAGGAGACCCTCCCAGGCCAATAGGAATGAAACAGATCCAAGTCTGCTGTTGAGAAAGAGTGTCTAACTTTATTGCTGATGTAATGTGGAAGTGAGATGCATTTTGGAGTGTTTGTGCCCAGTAATCTTCTGGGTGACTGCGCGTAGTCAGAAGTTCAGCAAAGCGATTAAGCTTCCCATAGCAGACAAAATGTAGCAGAGGTTGTTTCACTTGGTAAACACAAAACACACTATATACATATTATACACAGTTGCTACAAGAAGGCGTCTTTCTCTGAGCCTAGAGAGGGTTTTTAGCTTTCAAAGTCATTGCACATCCAAAGTCCAAAGTTGCTAATGTCCTGCAACTTCAGTCGACTGTTTCTTCTTCACAAGTCTTTCCGGTTCTGTCCAACAATCCTTCTCTACAATTCTCCACCAGCCCAGACTAAGAAATTGCCTTCTTCATACACTCCTATAACCACAAATTAATACTGTGGATTGTCAACAGCCTGACAATCCAGACACGTTTGCTTGACCCATTGATGACTTCCTAGTGACTTCTTGAGAACCACCTAGGGTGTGTTACGTTATATGTTGAAAAGAGCAATAGTTGATTTCTTTCTCCCCTCAGTAATGAGTAAAGTATAAAAACTGCAGTGAATGACATTGCAGACTATAATATTGTAGGGAGTCATTCTAATGGAAAATAAAACTATTTGTCTCTGAGAAGAGATACTAGTTATCTTTCAGAAGCATCTATCATCCTATGTGGTTTTTTTAAAAGAACCTACTAAATATACTTTTTGGTTACCAAAGCTTTGTATTCACACTTTGAATGGAAATCATTATTCACAAATATACTATATACCTATCATTCAAATGTTACAAGATAAAAATACCATTACATGACAGCTTTTGAACAGTAAATACTATTGCATGCCAGCTATCAAATGCTGTCAAATATCACAAACAACCAGTGGTTTTAAAACTCTCTTCTGGGGAGCTCAGTTCAACTGTCCCCTATTCCTTCACTTTAAACCCCATTCCTGAGCCATGCCTTGATGCCTGATTCTCCCCCATCAGCCCCTGAATATTGGGATTGAAGGTGATTTCAAACCTGACTTTTTACCACACCATGATTGAAATCAAAAGGGAGAACAGCTCCCCTTTGATATCATTAACCGTCAGCTCTTCCTGTCTCTAGTCTCCACATTGTGTCATGGACAGAGAATTTAGCAATACTCTTCTGTGAGAAGAACAACAACTGATGTTACTTCAACAACCACAAGAGAATGAGTTACAGATAGGTAGCCGTGTTGGTCTGCCATAGTCAAAACAAAAAAAATTCCTTGGTAGCACCTTAAAGACCAACTAAGTTAGTTCTTGGTATGAGCTTTCGTGTGCATGCACAGTGTATCTGAAGAAGTGTGCATGCACACGAAAGCTCATACCAAGAACTAACTTAGTTGGTCTTTAAGGTGCTACTAAGGAATTTTTTTTGTTTTCACAAGAGAATGAGTATGTTATATGGGCACACAGCGTGTTCTTGTGGGACTCAACATTGCCCTTGTGAGTAAACTGAGTGTGTATGAACCCGATAACATGCACCAGATTCATTTTCAGGGTTCCTCCACAAGAATGTTGTGGCACACAGAGGTTCCTCGGCAGGTGCCAAAGTAGAAAGTGTTCCTTGATGGTAGGACGCTTGATAGCCACTGTACCATTACATATCAGCTGCCCATGCTGGTAACTAACACTGTATTGTGTTGCATATCGACGCTGCAAAATATAATGGTTGGTTACAACTGAATGCTGGTTACTAGTATATTTGGTAAATATTATTCAGTGAATATCTGGAGGGTATTTTGTGTTTTTGTTTTTTAAAAAAAAACTGGAAAGGAAAACTCATTTTCCCAACCTTAAATACAATTGACATAATTTTACACACACACAAAAAAAATTGTATGCATTTTATACATTTCTACCAGCATATAATATATTTGTATATAAATGCATCCAATATACAAATTTTTGTAAGCGATTTCCCCAAATATTATATATTTATTGTATGTGATCTTCACTAATATACACAATTTTGTGTATATGCATTTCTGTACAAATTTTTGCTGGAGAATGGCATTGTAAAATTCATACAAGTGCAACTTTTCAAAGGTTAGCTGTGTTTTGGTTCGCGTATTTGTTCAAGTAGTATGAATTAAGCAGTTTCTCCTTAAAATGCAAGCTTGAACAAAATTCTCCTCCATCTCTGCTAACACACAATGCTATGTCTTTAGCATGCACAGATTAAAAATGGCAGCATAAACTCTGAAAAGAAGTATCTGAAGCTAAAGATTGTATTAATTCACTCGGAAGCTAGCAATTGGTCAAGGCTCTGTGACAGATATATATGCATTTAAGCACATGCTTTTTGTCTCCTGTACTGTGGAATTGTAAGCCAAATTCAAAATAAACTGGCTTATTTCAGACTAATCAACAGAAAATAAGTGTGTGCATGCAGGAAAGCGTAGCAATAAAAATGAGCTGATGTAATGAATGTCTGAGAAACAGCTGTCCTTTGTTGCAGAAAAATGACAGAGGTATGTACCATCAGAAGTATTCAGTTTTCAAAAACCCTATGTCTTCAGACACACCCTATCATTACTGCTAGCATAAATCAATGGCGAAAGAAGAAATTAGAGTGCTAAAACTTTAGATGCCTTGGAGAAGTCCATAAAGGGCTCTGTACCACTTCAGTTAAAATGTTGAGTGGCCTTCCAAGTTTAGTTTCAATTTAGGCTCTCTGATCTGTTAATCCTGCTTTTCTAGAGCAGCAACAAAGGCTAGAATAAATTAGTGAAGTGAAATGGAGCGAAAAAGTGATTATGCGTGTTGAGTCATCCTCACTTCTTATGGTGGATCATCACTCTCTCTCTCTCTGTTCCACCTTAGTAATTTTCCTTTTAAATTAAGCTTGGACAATTGTGGCCTAGTGTAATTTAGTGTAGGCTGTAAACTGCTTGTGGTATTATTGCAAACAGTTACTGTAAAGAAAGCGAGGTGTTGTTTTATTGTGGGATTTTAAAAACTATTACATGCTGTAATCATAATCTTGTCTTGTTTGTAGGATGCACAGGGAATTTTTATTGATGGGCTGCTATAGAAATATTTAATTATTATGTGGATAGATGATAGATAGATAGATCAATCTAGATCCTTTCAAGGGGGCTTTTCTGTTTCAGGAATGTCACATTTTCTTAGCACTCAAAACAGCAATATATGTCAGATTGAATCTAAGCTAAGTCACTGAGCACATGCAATGACTTCCATGAGCCCAACAGAACTCCCACTCCCTCTCCTCCTCTTTGCTCTGACTCCAGATCTGCTGTGGAGGGTTGTGAAAACCCCTAGAGCAGATGTGGGGTGTGGGGAGAGGAGAGGGAGGAGACATTTTGTTACACGACAGAAATTGTTCCGCGCACACAACTGGATGCAACCAATTGTTCCTGTGCGAAACTTTATTCTCTGTCACTGTCAAAGAAGGTGGGTGGTAATGTTTGGTGAGAGAGGGCACACACACAACCAGGCTCCTGTTTTCCTCAGAGATCACTAGTCCTACCAGTTTGAATGCAGAAACTGGTTTAGCCTTTCTCATGTCAATTGCACAAGTCGCTTGCCTCTTGCTGACGCCCCACCGGCTCCCCATCCCTGGAATGAGGAGGAGCCGTTGACGGCAAACACTTGGACACCACCCAGAACTTCAACTGTTGCTTTCTGCCAAACGAGAAGGAATATTAGTCATTACCCATGCAGCCTCCCTGACATGTTGAGACAGCCCTAGAAAGGTATTTCCTTTTCTGAGTTCTCTTTCTGCACCTTGGCCAACAGGCCTAGTCAAGGGAAACTCAACGTATCTGGCAGCTTTGCTCATACTTTGCAATTTATGGTATGGTATGTATGGCAAGAAACCACAAAGTATTGAAACTCAAGGTGTTTTGGTGACCCACCTTCCTGATAAAACAGACTAATCCAAGAACCAAAGATCGGCTGGAACGAGAAGCTTGCTGTTCATGGAACTCTTCCTTGTTGTCTATTTGCATTTTGCCATGTGATGCTTGTTTAGAAATTCTCAGGACTGGCGATAGCATCTAGCACCTTTTCACGGCGCACTGTTTTTGACTCTGCCTCCTGTTTTGGGCTTCCTGCCCAACTTTTCCCACAGTGCCCCAGAGAATGTCATTCAGCAATGCTATGTCAGATGCTCTGGGGCATTGTGGGAGGTTTAACATGGCAGGCTTGACCCAGGCTCATGCTAGGGGAGGTTCATGAAAGTCACCCTGCTGTGGGTAGGGGTGGCTGCTCAAACTTCATGCTGCCCTCTGAATGTGAGAGTACACCACAAAAGATGTTCCCACACATGCTAAAGTTATCCCAACAACCATCTACCTTCCTAGATTCACAGCCTTAGCAAAACCCATGTAGCAAATTGATCCATCGCCAAACTTATATCAAAGGTTTTCCTTCAAAGTGAACCTTTTAATTGTGTTCATTGCCTTGACCTCTTAAGAGGCATGAGCGCAATGTGATTATTAAATCCTAAATCTGGTAACAACTTTCTCCAGAACAAATACATATTCTGTGCTTGCCTCTGTGTAACTGTCTTCATGGTAATTCACTGATGATTCTCTCTAATTGGCTTTATTAAGCGTGCTTGGAGATCATCCAGGTTAGGTCAGCAGTTACCTTCATTTCTGAAACTACCACCCCACAGCTTTTTGTGTTTA